TCATGAAAGTAAAGCACTTCAATATTTCTACAACAGTGAAAGCATGAAAGTAAAACACTTCAATATTTCTACATCACCACAGACATGAAAGTAAACTACTGCAATATTTTCCATCATGCACTTAGACTGTCTGAAATTACTCTTCACTTGTCATGTTAAAATGCAATTATCAGTTGATAAAATGATAAAAAGCTGTGGCACATTTTTATGTTTGTTTTGAGTTTATTGTTTTGCTCATCCACGTGATGTTTGCGGATGGAGTGACACTTGTAGCTTTCCTACTGTGAGGACTGCAATGTTTCTGTGTAAGTCACATTTATTTAAACAATCTATTCACTCACTTGATTGCCATGGTTGATATTCTTCAAACATAAAATCTTCTAATAAAAACCTACTTTTATGAACACTATGTCTTCTTGTGTCTGTTGCATGGACCTCCTCTGTGGTCTAGTGGATGGAGTGTGTGCCTGGAGTGTGGAAAGGCAGTAGTTCAATGCCTGGATGAGTCATACCAGAAAATGTTAAAAGATGGTATTTGTTGTTTCCCTGCCTGGTGCTCAGCATTAAGGGGATAAAACAAGGACTACTTGGCTTGGAGTCAGTATACTGTGTCTGAGTAGGGTATCCATGTAAACCTGCGGCGTGGTATCTTAGTGGGCTGGCACTATAAACTGGCTTAAGTCTGGACTAGTACAAGAGCACGCATACCCACACCCACACCCACACTTTTGTTGGTCATGTGATGTATTGGAATAGGTCCCCAGCACCCCATTGCTGGACTTGAGATGTATTGGAATAGGTCCCCAGCACCCCATTGCTTGACATAAGATGTATTGGAATAGGTCCCCAGCACCCCATTGCTTGACATAAGATGTATGTGAATAGGTTCCCAGCACCCCATTGCTTGACGTGAGATGTATGTGAATAGGTTCCCAGCACCCCATTGCTTGACATGAGATGTATGTGAATAGGTCCCCAGCACCCCATTGCTTGATGTAAGATGTATGTGAATAGGTCCCCAGCACCCCATTGCTGGACATAAGATGTATTGGAATAGGTCCCCAGCACCCCATTGCTGGACGTAAGAGGTATTGGAATAGGTTCCCAGCACCCCATTGCTTGACATAAGATGTATTGGAATATGTCCCCAGCACCCTATTGCTGGACGTAAGATGTATTAGAATAGGTCCCCAGCACCACATTGCTGGAGGTAAGATGTATTGGAATATGTCCCCAGCACCCTATTGCTGGACGTAAGATGTATTGGAATATGTCCCCAGCACCCTATTGCTGGACGTAAGATGTATTGGAATATGTCCCCAGCACCCTATTGCTGGACGTAAGATGTATTGGAATATGTCCCCAGCACACCATTGCTTGACGTGAGATGTATTGGAATAGGTCCCCAGCACTCCATTGCTGGTCTCGAGATGTATTGGGATAGATCCCCAGCACCCCATTGCTGGACATGAGATGTATTGGAATAGGTCCCCAGCACCCCATTGCTTGACATAAGATGTATTGGAATATGTCCCCAGCACCCCATTGCTGGACTTGAGATGTATTGGAATAGGTCCCCAGCACTCCATTGCTTGACATGAGATGTATTGGAATATGACCCCAGCACCCCATTGCTTGATGTGAGATGTATTGGAATAGGTCCCCAGCACCCCATTGCTGGAGGTAAGATGTATTGGAATAGGTCCCCAGCACTCCATTGCTGGTCTCGAGATGTATTGGGATAGATCCCCAGCACCCCATTGCTGGACATGAGATGTATTGGAATAGGTCCCCAGCACCCCATTGCTTGACATAAGATGTATTGGAATATGTCCCCAGCACCCCATTGCTGGACTTGAGATGTATTGGAATAGGTCCCCAGCACTCCATTGCTTGACATGAGATGTATTGGAATATGACCCCAGCACCCCATTGCTTGATGTGAGATGTATTGGAATAGGTCCCCAGCACCCCATTGCTGGAGGTAAGATGTATTGGAATAGGTCCCCAGCACTCCATTGCTGGTCTCGAGATGTATTGGGATAGATCCCCAGCACCCCATTGCTGGACATGAGATGTATTGGAATAGGTCCCCAGCACCCCATTGCTTGACATAAGATGTATGTGAATAGGTCCCCAGCACCCCATTGCTGGACGTAAGATGTATTGGAATAGGTCCCCAGCACCCCATTGCTTGATGTGAGATGTATTGGAATAGGTTCCCAGCACCCTATTGCTGGACATGAGATGTATTGGAATAGGTCCCCAGCACCCCATTGCTTGATGTGAGATGTATTGGAATAGGTCCCCAGCACTCCATTGCTGGTCTCGAGATGTATTGGGATAGATCCCCAGCACCCCATTGCGGGTCTCGAGATGTATTGGAATAGGTCCCCAGCACTCCATTGCTTGACGTTGCATGTATTGGAATAGGTCCCCAGCACTCCATTGCTGGACGTTGCATGTATTGGAATAGGTCCCCAGCACCCCATTGCTGGACGTGAGCGGCACCAGTGGCTATTACGAGTAATGTCCCTCCTATTCACCAATCAGATTCCACCTCTCATATCCCTTGTATTTGCTTCAAACAAAATGGTGGCACCCAGTCTGATCTGATCGATAATCAAGATCTCTACTTTAATAAAACGGGTCTACCCCGTGAAGTGCATAAAATCACTTGAGCACCTTGATTAAAAACATGAAAAGATTGGCAAATTATCTGTCGATGAGCAGTTGACTGTACACATGCTTTGCAAATCCTGTTGTCAACCAAAATCTGCACATTCAAATCATGTTGTAGGCGACTATGCTTGTCAGAAGAGGCGACTAACGGGATCGGGTAGTCAGACTCGCTGACATGGTTGATGCATGTCATCAATCCCAATTGCGTGGATCGATGCTCATGATATTAATCACTGGATTGTCTGGTCAAGACTCGATTATTTACAGACCACCGTCATATAACTAGAATATTGCTGAGTGCAGCGTTAAACAAACAAACAAAATCATGTTGTTTATGAACCGGATGTCAACAAACCACAGGAAACATGCATTTTATACTATCTTTATTACTTGAAAATACGTCATTTAGATTTAGTTAAATATGACAGGACTAGCGACATGATAAATCTGTGATAGGAAAAACATTTATCAAAATGAGAACAGCTCAATAGCTAGTAAATAACATGTTAGCATCAACACGAAAATACAATACTGGTCATGTCAGTTTAAATACCGGTAGTACTGCATATAGTACTAGAGAGAAGGTGTCAGGATACTGGCAGGTAATGGTAAGTATTGATGTGTTGTAAAGTGAGCAAAAAATAGAAAAAAAAAATAAAAAAAATAAAAAAATAAAACATAATCCAGAAATCACACAGCCATGATTGATAAACTTTATAATCAGAAAGTGGCAAATGAAGGACTGAAATACTTTCACTATAATAATTTCATCATAATATTTCTTTGATAATATTATTAGTTACACTCCTAATAATAATACTGACTGAAAAAATATATTTTTTATATTCTTTTTTAAGTCTCAAGAGATTTTACTGGCATCATTGTGTCACTTTTTTTACATATAGGTAATAATAAATTAATTTCACATATACAAATATAACATGTTATATATATGAAATATGTTATCTAAAGTACAATGATATAGTCATATAAACATGATATATATATACAGAATATATATACATTAGAGTGTATATCACAGCTTTCCTTTGTAAAAAGTTCACATCATCATCATCAGTGCACATATATATACACAAAGATGACATACAACTTTGAAAGAATTTATAAATTCACTGGCTTTTCCCTTAAAAAAACACCCACACATGTAACACGTGAACCACCCAGATTCAAATCAACAGAAAATTATCCATAAACAAATTTTAATCATAACATGCATAAAATTACTTTCTGTGTGGAATGAAATTGACTCTTTCACAAATATCAACAAACATCAACAATATTCCTAAGTTAAGTTTCACCCAAAATTGTATAACACACAAATACTGTTATGTAAAGATACTAAAGCACTCTTCAGGCAAACAGGATACACTTGAAAGGATTCGAAATCATGAATCCAATTTGCCAGTGTGAGATGAAAATGATGGAGATAAAAAACAAGAATCTACAACCTTAAGGAAATTTGACAGCAGGTTCCAGATTTGTAATTTGAGAATGTCAGTGAGTGAGTGTAGTTGTATGCCGCTATAAGCAATATTCCAGCAATATCACCAGAAATGGGCTTCACACATTGTACCCATGTTGGGAAACGAACCGAGGTCTTTGTTGTGACAATTAAGTGAACGCTTTAACCACTAGGCTACCCCACCTCCCTGGAGGAGTTAATCAAAGTATGACCCAGACGTGAGAAGTTTATCAAAGTATGACCCAGACGTGAGAAGTTAATCAAAGTATGACCCAGACGTGAGAAGTTTATCAAAGTATGACCCAGACGTGAGAAGTTAATCAAAGTATGACCCAGACGTGAGAAGTTAATCAAAGTATGACCCAGACGTGAGAAGTTAATCAAAGTATGACCCAGACGTGAGAAGTTAATCAAAGTATGACCCAGACGTGAGAAGTTAATCAAAGTATGACCCAGACGTGAGCAGTTAATCAAAGTATGACCCAGACGTGAGAAGTTAATCAAAGTATGACCCAGACGTGAGAAGTTAATCAAAGTATGACCCAGACGTGAGAAGTTAATCAAAGTATGACCCAGACGTGAGAAGTTAATCAAAGTATGACCCAGACGTGAGAAGAACCCCGAAATGTTTAATGTAAAATGACACGTTTCCTACCCCTTAATGCAGCAACACCCTTAGAACCATTAACCATCAACATTTCATTGACATTGAGTGAGTGTGTTAGGTTTCAAACATAGTATTCCAGGTATATCACGGCGTCTCAGTTCAATGTGGAAGGAAACTTATGCATGTCTCAGACTTTTACCACTTTAGTGAAACCTACAAGTGCGGGTAAGGTGCTGACAAACATAGAAAAATAATCAGGGCGAATCGAGATTCGAACCCATGATCACAGGACCGGTGTGACCAAGGGACGCAACTCTGCACAGTGATTTGCGGCACCTGAGATGACTGGGCCACTCCCATTTCATTCACAGGAATTAAGGACTTCAATGACAAACCATATAACAAATTGTAGTTTTCACAAACGCAAAATTTGTTCCTAAAAACAACTTGTTCGTATCTGGAGATCCATGTTCTGTTGTGTAACGAGTTGCTTGGTTATGTAACGAGGCCTTTAATGAAATCTCTCATCATCTTCTAACAATAATTGGAAGAGGAGGTTGTGCAGCTTGGATGTGTTTGACTGTTTAAAAAGTAACTGCAATATTTAAATCTTCATTGTAAACAAAACAAAATTTCGTAAGAAAGAAGATATCTTCTAACAATTTGTCCTTTTCTTGACCTAATAATGTTTTCCTTAACCTAATAGTGCTTTCCTTAAACTAATAATGCTTTCCTCAAACTAATAATGCTTTCCTTAAACTAATCATTATTTCCATAACCTACTAGTGCTTTCCTTAAACAAGCAATGCTTTCCTTAAACGAACAGTACTTTGTGATGATGAAAGGTTTTACTGTATCCTATTCTGGGACGTGGCTGTTGCTTCAGGTTTATTGATGAACTTAACAAGGTTCAAAACAAAAACAAAACTTGAAACATTAGTAATCATTAAATGTTGAATGTAGCTTTGAAACATTGTTCATCATATCAATAGTACAAAAAAGTAATTACACAATATTCACATCCTCTAACATTCACTGCATAACATAACATAGTTCACAATGCAGAAGACAGACACTAACTTAGGAAACCGTATATCTTCTAACAAATGCAACATTTCAAAATGTCAACAAATTTACATCTCAAGGTTTGTAAATAAGTATGTGATATAAAAAATCAACAATTTTCCATTTTGAAAAATGGAGACAATAAACAAAACAGACTTGAAGATAAGTTCTCTTATTAAGCAGGTTTTTGTTGCCCACTGATGACTGAACACACTGTCCTCCTGGTTGGTGGAGAGAATGTACCCGACACTGCTAGTAGTTGTGGATGGCGTACGGTGCCTGGGTACTGTAGGGCTGAAGTGGAGAACACAGGATTAGTTGGCTACGAAGAAATGTACACTGCACATGGACAAGGCATGAAATTAACCATCTCTTCCCACACATCTCTTCATCACAGGACCTGCCCTGGCAACCAAGGAGATAACAGTGTCCCATCTTGGTGGACAATACCAGGAACTGACAGTGTCCCATCTTGGTGGACAATACCAGGGGCAGACAGTGTCCCTTCTAGGTGGACACTAACAGGAGATGACAGTGTCCCATCTTGGTGGACAAGACCAGGAACTGACAGTGTCCCATCTTGGTGGACAATACCAGGGGCAGACAGTGTCCCTTCTAGGTGGACACTAACAGGAGATGACAGTGTCCCATCTTGGTGGACAATACCAGGAACTGACAGTGTCCCATCTTGATGGACAATACCAGGGGCAGACAGTGTCCCTTCTAGGTGGACACTAACAGGAGATGACAGTGTCCCATCTTGGTGGACAATACCAGGGGCAGATAGTGTCCCATCTAGGTGGACAATAACAGGAGCTGACAGTGTCCCATCTCGGTGGACAATAACAGGAGCTGACAGTGTCCCATCTTGGTGGACAATACCAGGGGCAGACAGTGTCCCTTCTAGGTGGACACTAACAGGAGATGACAGTGTCCCATCTTGGTGGACAATACCAGGGGCAGATAGTGTCCCATCTAGGTGGACAATAACAGGAGCTGACAGTGTCCCATCTCGGTGGACAATAACAGGAGCTGACAGTGTCCCATCTCGGTGGACAATAACAGGAGATGACAGTGTCCCATCTTGGTGGACAATACCAGGAGATGACAGTGTCCCATCTATGTGGACAATACCAGGAGATGACAGTGTCCCATCTTGGTGGACAATAACAGGAGATGACAGTGTCCCATCTTGGTGGACAATACCAGGCGCTGACAGTGTCCCATCTTGGTGGACAATACCAGGAGCTGACGGTGTCCCATCTTGGTGGACAATACCAGGAGCTGACAGTTTCCCATCTTGGTGGACAATACCAGGAGCTGACAGTGTCCCATCTTGGTGGACAATACCAGGAGATGACAGTGTCCAATCTTGGTGGACAATACCAGGAGATGACAGTGTCCCATCTAGGTGGACAACACCAGGGGCAGACAGTGTCCCATCTAGGTGGACAATACAAGGCGCTGACAGTGTCCCATCTAGGTGGACAATAACAGGAGATGACAGTGTCCCATCTTGGTGGACAATACCAGGCGCAGACAGTGTCCCATCTTGGTGGACAACACCAGGGGCAGACAGTGTCCCATCTAGGTGGACAATACAAGGCGCTGACAGTGTCCCATCTAGTTGGACAATAACAGGAGATGACAGTGTCCCATCTTGGTGGACAATACCAGGAGATGACAGTGTCCCATCTAGGTGGACAATAACAGGAGCTGACAGTGTCCCATCTAGGTGGACAATAACAGGAACTGACAGTGTCCCATCTAGGTGGACAATAAAAGGGGCAGACAGTGTCCCATCTAGGTGGACAATACCAGGGGCAGACAGTGTCCCATCTTGGTGGACAATACCAGGAGCTGACATTGTCCCATCTTGGTGGACAATACCAGGAGCTGACATTGTCCCATCTTGGTGGACAATACCAGGGGCTGACAAGGTCCCATCTTGGTGGACAATACCAGGGGCAGACAGTGTCCCATCTCAGTGGACAATAACAGGAGATGACAGTGTCCCATCTAGGTGGACAATACCAGGGGCAGACAGTGTCCCATCTCGGTGGACAATAACAGGAGGTGACAGCGTCCCATCTAGGTGGACAATAACAGGAGCTGACAGTGTCCCATCTCGGTGGACAATAACAGGAGCTGACAGTGTCCCATCTAGGTGGACAATAACAGCTGACAGTGTCCCTTCTACGTAGACAATAACAGGAGCTGACAGTGTCTTAAGTAGGTGGACAATAACAGCTGACAGTGTCCCATCTAGGTGGACGATAACAGGGGCAGACAGTGTCCCATCTAGGTGGACAATAACAGCTGACAGTGTCCCATCTATGTGGACAATAACAGGAGCTGACAGTGTCCCATCTAGTTGGACAATAACAGGAACTGAGTGTGTCCCATCTAGGTGGACAATAACAGGAACTGAGTGTGTCCCATCTAGGTGGACAATAACAGCTGACAGTGTCCCATATAGGTGGACAGTAATAGGTGCTGACAGTGTGTCCCATATGAACCCTGTTCCCCAAAGATCCCGGATATTTACAGATGACAAGTTACAGCTTGGTGAACTCACATTTGAAGACCTTCTGTCTGGGATCTCGTACATGTTGGAGTGCTTGCTAGGAATGGTTGACTTGACAAACCGCTGCCCCATCGTTGAGGAACTGTACTCGCCATTCTGATCCCCGACATACGCCTTGTGCTGCAGGACAGAGAACAGAGCCTTGTATTCCACTGAACAACGTGATGGCAAGGAAGCTATATACACAGACTCACCTGGGTTGTACCATGATACATGTTGGATGGTTTTCAAGTTATGTCCCGGAAACAAACCCTACTCTAATTTGAGACTAAGTCAAAATTATTTTCCATGGACATAAAAAAATTAAAATATAAAATTTTGAAATTTGCAAAAGCCACCAGTTAAGCTGATGACCAATGCATATGTGCAGTATTGTAGAAAAATGTTTAATTTTTTTTTCGAGTTATGTCCTGGAAACAAATCCTACCCTTGTTTGAGACTCAGGTGAAATTGTTTCCATGGAAACAAAAAAATAAAATGTTGAAAAATTTCAGAATAGCAAAAGGCACCAGTTAAGCTGATGCCAATGCATATAGCAAGTTTCGTTGAAAAACATTTAACGGTTTTCAAGTTATGGCTATGAATGGGATGGGCACACCGACGCCGACACAATCGGGAACAAAGCCAAACATGGTATGTCTCCCCTCCTTTTGGGGGGATGAGGGAGACATAATTTAATGTTATGGTATGTGATAAAAAGGTTATTATATGGCAGTGTTCTTATCATATCCCATCCGTTAGGGGGTCCATAAAAATGGGTACTGACCTCATATAAAGTCTATAATTGTATAATATCACATGGTGACCACTGTATTGCAATAAGTAAGATTGCAATAGAGTGAAATCATCAATGTTGTACAAGAGTTTTGTCATATGTATACTCACCACCAAAAGAAACGCGAACCATAGCAACATATAGAGAAGTGTGTACGTTAAGAAGAGATGTTTCCAATGTGTTACCACAGTGTCTATATTCTTATCACGATATGCTGCACGTGAATTTCAAACTTTACATGCTAATCCTGCATGAGAAAAATGGTGCATCTCGAGTCATGGATCTATGACATCATATGTGATGCGATTTTTAGCGTCGATTCACACAACATACCAGTATGTTTGATTGTGCATCGAGCTCTTGACTACAAGTAATTCTTCTAGACGTTTCTTTGTCAGTGAGTGTATAATATCTGCATGGTGAAAAGGAAACTGTAAATGAAGACTACTTCATCACGAATATCATTCAGTTCACTGAACATGTCAATTCATTGAATACTGGTATCCATTTTCTACTTTTTAGATTTTCTTAATGAGAAGTTATGTCAGAAACATATCAACAACACATAAAAAATTACACCTCAAATTTACTTAATTAAAATCTTACTAAATTATACTTTGTGAATGAGTGAATAACATTTGTCACATCTTTCCATGAACAATGTATGGACAACTGTCCGTGAGTATATTAACACAGAAAGCTGCCACATCACAGTGACAGGACACAGGGAACCGGACACAGGAAACCGGACACAGGAAACCGGACAGGTGCACGAGTAACATGACTGGGTTCAGACCCGACACGTGTAAACCACACAAAGAACGTATACAAGTACACACATGTACATCTTGCAGTGGGACCTTGTCTACTCATTGATGAGTGGAGGTGAAATGGGGTTTAACATTGCGTCCAAGATTATTGCACTTATATAGTGACGTCAATGCTCTGTGTGTGTGTGTGTGTGTGTGTGTGTGTGTGTGTGTGTGTGTGTGTGTGTGTGTGTGTCTGTCTGTCTGTCTGTCTGTGTGTGTGTCTGTGTGTGTGTCTGTGTGTATGTCTGTGTGTCTGTGTGTGTTTGCTTGTACTTGTCCGGACTGATGCCCATTTTATAGTGCAAGCTCCTACGTTCATACAGTTTGGCCCTCACTCTATGAAGGTTCATACTCCAATGAACTCACACAAAGTGAAAGTCAATTCTTAAATGATGTGTCCCTTCAACATTGATTGACAAAATTGCGTAATTTATCTCCCCTCTATCCATGACTACATAATGTCGACGAATGACCATGCCGAGTAATAATTACTTAAGTATGTGGAAAATGGAATGTGCATGTACAATCAGGGTCAATCACCATCAAGCACTTTAGCTCCCTATATATCGCAATACGTATCGTAATACAGAAACCTGTATCGCAATAGTCCACAAAACAATGTTTTTGCCAATACACATCCGTAGTAATTATGGACGTCGCTTCCTAGAGAGACAGTAATATCGAGGTACATTTCACATTGTTTGAGGTAAGTTTGGAAAGGGCTTAAGGAAGAGAGTTGTATTCCTATATTTAACAATATACTGTAAATATTGAAATTAACACGAGTTTGCGGAAATACCAACTTCAATATAAACACAAACACAGTTTTATTAAGCAGCAGTTGTAACAAGTATGTAACCATTTCATTCAAAGAATAGGAATTATACACAATAGGCATCCGGTGAGTTATCACTGCTGGGGTCAAGAGTTCTACCCACCCATATCAAACTAGCCATCATTGACCACTTCAGCAGTCAAGACAGACACCACCCACACAACACTTTGTTTTTAAGGAAGTGCTCCACTCAGCGCTAATAAGCAATGCTATTTGTTGTTTGATTGGATTAAGGTAAAGTTGGATTGAGGTAAGGATATGTATCATTCCTCTAGGGATGGGTTGGGGGAGTCGCATTGATATTGAATCACATTTTTTGCTTGGGATCAGCAGTAGTATTAATTTGGAGGTGCATTAATTTCAAGATTTACAGTACCAGAGCACATCTCAACAACACCCTGATCATAACAACCCCAGAAGCACAAACATAGACAGGATACATTTGACATGTGATATAAACAGGGTTAACATGTGATAGACACAGTATTAACATGTGATAGACACAGTGTTAACATGTGATAGACACAGTGTTAACATCGGTGTGAGTACATATACATTGCATTTTGTCAGTCACATTTCACCATAATACACCCACCAAACAATCAGATACATATGCATGTGAAATTAATAAACTTAAACGGCAAATCAAACGTTATTCATGGTGCATACACTAGCTTATGACATGCAGCTCAAACTGGGGACAGTGTGGCCATTATACCCAACAGTAACACACTCAGTACCTCCGGCATACTCCGTGTAGTAAGTGTCTCCCTAGGGGGCGCTTCCATCCACGAGGGAAGCTACAGGGACGTTAAAAGGGGATATATCATTTCGATTTTTTCTTTTATTACAATTCCTTTTTGATATTTAAAAATGAGTTCTCATTAAAATAGATCATTTTTAACTTCAAACGGGATACAATAGTTAACATATTTTAAAGAAAAGACAATTCATCCAGTAATTGAATACAATAAAATCTTGTGTAATTCAAAGAACTATATAGAACCTTTTTAATGGGTAGGGATGAATGACATGCTTAATGGGTGGGGATGAATGACAGGCTTATGGTTCACGTTTGTTGAATTTTAAAAAAAAATAGATGTAAAAAGAAATAAAAATTAAACATTGTGTTGAAAATACTGTGTAAGATAACAAGCAGACACTGAGAGACGTAGAAACATGCGTCATCATGAACACAGGCGTGGTCTGTCCTACTAACCTCAGCCAAATCAGTTATAGCCTTTCTCTCCATGATCAATTTTCCGTTAGCCTGAAGAAAAATTACAGTTTGTTAATGCTACCTCAACTCAGAGCCTGCTTCAGCTTGGAACACTAGAAGCCCCGTGGGGATTCCAGGCGGAATATCACCCCAGCATCAACTGCTGGCATAAGTGGTGAGTATGGTTTTACGCCGCTTTTAGCAATATTCCAGCAATATCACGGCGGGGGACACCAGAAATGGGCTTCACACATTGTACCCATGTCGGGAATCGAACCCGGGTCTTTGGCGTGACGAGCGAACGCTTTAACCACTAGGCTACCCGACCGCCCCCTTGCTGTCATAAGAGCTGACGAAGAGTTTCAACATGTGACAAGTATCGTCGTACCCTGATGGTATGGATCGGTGCTTGTTTGTTTGTTTGTTGTTTAACGCCGCACTCAGCAATATTCCAGCTATATGACAGCGGTCTGTAAATAATCGAGTCTCGGCCTGACAATCCAGTGATTGACATCATGAGAATCGATCCACGCAATTGGGATCGATGACATGCATCAACTAAGTCAACGAGCCTGACCACCCAATCCTGTTAGTCGACAAGCATGGTTACTTTTTACAGCGAGCATGGGTTGCTGAAGACCTATTCTAACCCAGATCTTCACGGGTTGGATCGGTGCTCAGGCATGTTGTTATTATTTACAGATTGCCATGATACTGCTGAATTGGTGTGGACTGTGGCATAAAACAACATTCATTCACTCACATCACTGTTTTCTTTACATGCTCTCCCCCACCGGGTCAACGGAGGGTGTTCCAGGATTTTGAAAAAGAGGTGCACACAACACCCAAGTTACGAAGTGATTCGCCAAGGGCAGTCAACATGTAACATACACCCCTCCTCTGCGTCTGCCATTGGGGGGACATACGTGTATCTGTGACCAAAGTCATGAGTGAGTGAGTTAGTTGGATTTAACGCCTCCTTGAACAGGATTCGGGGGCGAACCAGAGCGAACCGGGATTCAAACACAAAATCGTAGGTTTCTGGTATTCCTAAGGGATGCAATTCTGCACACTAACTGGGTGCCTTAGACATCTGACTTGGTGCCCCACACACACACACACATACACCACACACACATAATGAAACTTCTAATCTTAGTTTTTTTTCAATTCTATCCTCCCTAACACATTGTGGAAATACAAAATTTGGGATCCAAAAATCCACAACCCCACAAAAGAAATTTGGAAAAGTATCATCCAGATTAGCTGGGTTTCACTTTATGCAATTTGCTAAACAAAATGGTCGTTTCCCATCTTTTGTGTGGAATGAGCATACAATGGATAATGTACATATATGAATTTCATCTCAGTATTTTTTACCCAAACTGTGTTTCTTGGAAGAACAAATAAGAATTTATCGACAGTCTGCAGTACCATTAGTTCTTACTTACATCACGTCTTGGAGAAAACAGGGTGTTGTCCAGCCTTTCCTTCTTCAGATTATCTCCCTTTGGTGCGCCGCCTCCCTTCTTGCCAAACATTGTACCAAACACATCATGATGCTGTGAACAGTCGGGTAATTAGACGATGTTATTAACCGAGGTTTCATATTGGAAATATCATATTCTAGGAATAAAATGATTATTAATATGATGTGAGCCGTAAGACAAGCTCTCATTCTTTTCCAATCTCACTTCAGTGAGTGAGTGAGTTGGGTTTTTACACCGCTTTTAAAAGTATTTCAGTTATATCACAGCATGTCAACTTTATATGGAGGAAAGCCAAAGTGAAGCAGGTCTTACCACTTTGGTCAAACACAGGAGCATGGGTATGGTGCTGACAAACCTAGTAACATAATCGAGGCGAACTGGTATTCAAACCCACACTGGTGTCTGCCCAAGGGATGCAACTCTGCACAGCGAATCATAACACCTCAGACAACTGGTCCCCTTCACTTCAGTGAATCAAGTCATTTATTATGTAGAGACAAAATATTTGCAGCCATTAATATCATACAGGCCCTAAGTCAAATTCACATCCTTTTCCAATCTCACGACAGCGACAGCCATTTATTACGTAGTGCCAAGTTATTGGCAGCCATTATGCACTATGATATTGAGCAAACCCACCCTAAACTAATGTTGAATGTCAAGCTTTAGTTGGAGAAAATACTCACCCCTATACTTTAAACATAGACCTGCAATAGTCATAAGGCTGAGACATTGTACTAGACTCTAGCTATCTCATTGTCCAGGTAACACTCATTCACCATTGGCCTGGAGAAAATACATCCCCCCCCCACCCCCATACCTTAACATAGAACTGCAATCATCTTCCTGAGGCAAAGGACTTAACTGACTCTAAAAGTCCAGTTTCCACCCTTGCCGAACTAGGCTGGAATTATGGAGTTATATTTTGGCTGGATTAACGACTCTATGCATAGTTTAATCAAAATCGCGTAACAAACTAGACATCCGGTTCGAAAACAACATGGATTTCAATGTGCAGATTTTGATCGACTGCAGGATTTGCAAAGCATGTGTACCATCAACAGGACGTTGACAGACTTTCTGCAAATCTTTTCACATTTTTAATCAAGGTGCTGAAATGATTTCATGCACTTCACGAGGTAAAACCTGTTTTAGTACAACATAGATTGATTATCAATCAGTCTTGACTGGGCGCTGCCATTTTGTTTGAAGCAAATGCAAGTGATTCTAGAGGTGGAATCTGATTGGTCAATAGGAGGGACATAGAAGGGACATAACTTGTAATAGTCACTGGTGGCGCAATGATCGAGCCTGGAAATTCCAGCGTAGTTTGGCAAGGGTAGAAACAGGACTTTTACAGTAAGTTAACGCCCTTGCCTCGGGAAGATGAACTGCAATAGTCATAGTGCTAAGACAAAATACTGGCCCAAATACTCACATGTTTCCATTCCTGATTGTCTCGGAGTTTGTCCAGTCTCTTGGTGCGTTCCCGTTCCTGTGCCTGGTGTGTGAGGAAGTCGTGGTACTCCCTTATTGAGTTGACCGGCTTGTTGTCTCCTTTGTTCATTTTCTGCAATAAGATGGTGACTTGTTTAACTCCTGAATTTCAGAGGCACTTGTTACCAAGCCAGCTGGATTTGTGTCCATTAAGCTATCAAAATTATTTCAAACAAATGAGGCACCCTTTACAAAAGACCAAATACCATATTCACCATAATCAGAACCCAGAGCGTAGAAGATTGACAAAGGTAGGTGCTTACTTAAACCATACATGAGTTATATTTGTTTTCATGTATTTGACAGTTGTGAACAAATGTAGTCTAAACATTGATGAAACTAAATCTTTTTCAATAAAAGTTACTAAAAAGCAATTTCACATACCCCCCTACACTGCTATTTTCTGTAAAAAGATTATGTGTTGTGCACACGGAGGATATTATATTCGTGTTCATGTCATACTATGTTTACGATACAAGTGTCTAAATTCAAGTATTTCCCGAGCGATAGTGAGCGAAAGCAGCCTTACCTAACCCTGCCTTATGTTATGCCAGCAAGGGTCAAGGTCACTCAACCACAGAGCATATGATCATCAAACTCCTGCCCAGCACAGGACAACTTCGTTACACTCTCGGAAACATCGCTGCCATCAGAGTGGGTGCGGCCATTACAAGAATCTTGAAATTTGCCCTCTAACCACAAATCTGGTAACGTTTATACTTTTGTTTATGTCTTTGGGAATACCATCATAGTGAATTTTGAAAAGGTTTAAGACTGACGATATTTCCCGGATGAATTAACATTTTTGTTTGTTCAGATTGGTTCGATATTTCAGATGAACGGAAAATCAACCAACTTGACCCTTACATTCTTACTATACCAATAAATGAAACAGAAATTCAAACTGACAAACAAAGAACATAATTTAGCAGGGGTAAGAGTATTCGGTGTCATGGCAGTCATCACTTGTTTGTAAACATAATGGTCAGTCAGCTGCGAGATCAACTCCAAGCATGGTTGTAGCCACCTATCACAGTCAGGAGCTTTCACTAGTGGCAGTGATAGTAAAGAGAGCTCTGCGAACGGGATATCGCTGTGAGGAGCTTGGAAAGTAACAAGCAAAGGGAGGTAATCCTCACAGATAGAGGTAGAGTTATTAACGTGCATACCACTGATGGTAGACTAGTGGTCGATAGCACACGCAGTGATCCACGCTGTTGCACAATGTGACCACCCAATCCTCATTTCAGCTCACATAACACAAGATAAAACACAAGATATAACACAAACACAAATATATTAACTAACTTCCTTCCCCATTTGTTCAACCATCACACTGCTTGCAGGAGTATGGTAACAACTGAACCTTTCACTGATACACCAGGCCATCAGGCTCAAGGCAACTGCTCATTTGGTCAACTCGGGTAATTACAAAAAGGAAAGTTGGTGGAATCCAGGATTCTATTAATGGAATTAGCTGGATTAACTTACAGTTTTGTCTTGGCGTGTAGATTTTATAAATTTTAAGATTTTGTAGGCTTTTATAAAGTTTTTACATTTTATAATATAAAGTGTATAATGAAATGCTGATAGACTTGAAGAGTGGTTGATCTAAAGTGGTTGTTTGGAGTCACAAGGTTTACCATCTGTATTCCACAGCCCACAGAAATTCTGCAGTTCCTTCATTTGTATGTTTGAGAAGGAAAAGTTGAACATAAAGATGAAGATGCTTAGACCTCGTTGAAGACACCAAAATGTCTTAATTCTCAAAAGAATTTAAAGACAATAATCTATTTTTTATGCTAGTTTATTCCAAATCTCATTAAGAAAGGGAGGTAGCTCTTCAACTTGTCGGGGGGACGGGTGGCCCAGTTGTCTAAGACGCCGCAATACTCTGTGCAGAATTGCACCCCTTGGGCATGCCAGAAACCTATGTTTGTGGGTTTGAATCCTGGTTCGCCCCGATTATGTTTCTAGGTTTGTCAGCACCATAGCCGTGCTCGTGGGTTTCACCGAAGTGGTAAACGTCTGAGACCTGCATCACTTCGGGCTTTCCTCCCACATTAAACTGACACGCTGCGATATAACTGGAATAATGTTAAAAGCGGCATTAAACCCAACTCACTCACTCACTTACTTCAACTTGTCATACCAAGAAACATTCTAACAGCTTGCTTCTTTTATTTATATATTATGATAATAATTTTCAGAATTTTGCAATTTTACTTTTACATTTACTCGTAGAATCCGAGATTCAAACCCACAATCATAGTTTTCTGGCATGCCTAAGGGATGCCGGCGCCTGGTTTGAGAAAATGGTGTAAGGTTGTTGTTGTGTGTTTGTATGGTGTTTTATGATCAGGTACATACCAGTTTGGATATGTCGGAGTTTGCGAGGTGCTGGTTCAGCAGTGTGCCAGTGATGGGGTCACGACGAGGTCGCCCTACAAGTCCCTCTTTCATGATCTCCGTCAGCTCACCGACCTGCAGCACAAGAATCAATCTCATTAAAATCAGATCTTAGTTCTCGCTATCATAAAACAAAGATCTGAGGACATTACATTACGTGTCACGTCAGACCGACCTTGCGCGAATTTTGACCGACCAATGGAGGGACTGACAAGAAGCCGACATTAGCCAATCAGAAGGCGGCGTTCTTGTGCTTTACGGCACTAAATCTAAATTGGCGACCACCCTTCGAAACATATTTTGACAAATTCTCGATTAAAAATTTGAAACCTGAACAAACGGACATTCTGGAATAGCAAATATATGGTCTAGATTGTATGGATTCAGTCGTTGAACCCGTAACTGTCGTTCGGAATACCCCGTGTTTAAGTTTGCAAGGTTGCATGATTAGAAATCACATTCCGACTGTCACTTTCATGATCTGGTAAGCGACGCTCTGATTGGTCGGATGAAAGGTTGTTCTGTCGTGACCCCTAGTGGGATGTCCTCAGATCTTTGTTAAGTGGTAGCAAGAACTAAGATCTGATTTTAATGAGATTGCACAAGGAATTCCACATATTCATTGGCTGAGAAACACAAAGGACTTCAGGTCTGGTGATTTATGGAACTCACTTGAGTTACTAAAAATGGAATGGGAATTCCCTGGAAGTGGTATACCTCAAACCTTAACCAATCACATGAGACCTCCAATCGTTATTGTTCCTAACATAGTCTGATCTGTAGCATCTACCTTTGTCTTTTTATTTTATGATAAAACAATCACAGACTTTACATGAGCTCAATACCTGCATTTCTGGACATAAAAAAATAATATCTTCGATCAATACTGTTTTTTCAGGTCCATAAAAACAGATACAGACCTAACACAAAGTCGATAATTGTATGATGTCATAATATAGTTGAAGTCTGTTCACTGAGTTAAACACTCCGTGAGCCTGCACCTTTCCATTTAAACATATCATAAGGGGCCGATTGTTTTTAAATATCTAGATGGGATGCTTGAAGATTGTGTTAGACACAGTGTATTTCTCGCTCACTGCTTCAAGACATTAAAATGTTTTCTCTTAAAGGAGGAACTGACCAGTTATATTTTTTCACACATTTTTTACAGAACATCCAATAAATCCAGCAAACAAAAGCTACACAACAGGGTCATTTAGTGTTTTTTTTAATGTAGGGCTACGAAACCAGTGAAACTAGTAGTAAAAGAATGTCTTAATGGAATATGAAATAATTGGGGCTGGCTATAGACAAAGATTATAGAGCTCAATAATTGTTAACTATAAATATGGATCAATAATCTATAAATATCAGGGAAATAACTTTGAGCAAAAATGCAAAAAATGAGTCTGAAAGAAATCAACTTATTTCACTCCACTGAGTGGTGGCACATTTATGCAGGGATAACATTGTGGACATTTGAGATGCAACAAAAACAGTTACTTTCCATCTTCAGCAATATTGACAATAACAGGTCTGTTTTGGAAAATCTAAACTTTATCTCATCAAAATAGTTTATGTAAGATATTATTGATGAGTGAGTGAGTATGGTTTTACGTCGCTTTTAGCAATATTCCAGCAATATCACGGCAGGGGACACCAGAAATGGTCTTCACACGTTGTACCCATGTCAGGAATCGAACCCAGGTCTTCGACGTGACGAGCGAACGCTTTAACCACTAGGCTACCTGACCACCCCTATTATTGATGACACAATTTTGATACTGATAATCATAACATTTCTTCCCATCGACGATAATTCTGATTATCGATCTTTTCATGCCAGGACTAGACATAATATATAGAACACTTGACTTTGCTACTCACTGGAGCCTTCATATAGTTGTCCATGTCCTCGCGGTTCCTCTTTTGTTCCTCCATTTCTTGCTCTGTAACCATGGGAACAGATAATATACATGCAACTGTCACCTTGACCTCTATACTGTGACATTTCATTGAGATGCTCGACAACCATCTGATTAACTTCAGATATTGATTCTAAATAGAAGATTGAACAGAGTTGCTTGAATTTCATTTTCTCAAGCAGAAATTAAAGATGCAACATCAACCTCTTGCTGCAAAGAATACATTTCTCTATCGATTGCTTTAAGGAACTAGAATGTTTACTTTAATGGTGAACAGACCAATGCTCATTCACTAAAGCCCACAACCAAGAAGCCGATGTCACAATTCTAAGCATACACAAACTTCCCCGATGTCACCACAGTGAGATATCATTCCTTCCACAAGAGCACAACAAATGCAGAACACTTTAAAATTACCTGGTTCCACAAAATCTCTAGCGTGTATCATGGGTTTAAAGTCTGCGAATCTATATTTAGCAAATACTCAAGCTGGACGTACCTGTAGTTTTACATATGTCCAATCTTAATGCCTTTTTATACTATGTGAAAAGGGGCACGCCAGAAACCTATGATTGTGGGTGCGACTCCCGGTTCGCCCCGATTATGTTTCTAGGTTTGTCAGCACCATACCCGTGCTCGTGGGTTTCACCGAAGTGGTAAACGTCAGAGACCTGCATCACTTGGGGCTTTCATCCCACATTAAGCTGACACGCCGCGATATAACTGGAATAATGTTAAAAGCGGCGTTAAACCCAACTCACTCACTCACTCACTGTGTGAAAAGAAGGATGGAAAATACCAACAGTATGAAAAGATTTAAAGATTAAGTTAATGGGTTCACTAGTAAAATGTTTGCAAAGTTCAACAGGGCCAAGAACAAACAAACCAGTGGTTGATGGAATGAGCATCAATAAAGATGTTCAGGATGCAAACATATTTTGGGGGATAACACCATAAAAGAAATGACCTTGCACTTTTTAATATCTTGTTAGGCGGGATGGAAAACTACCAACAACATTTCAGAATGGGCAAATGGGTCACCACCACATAATGTGTGAGAGGTTCAATAGGGCCTAATGCAGACAAACCAGTGGTTGATAGCATGAGCATCAATAAAGATGTTCAGGATGCAAAATGCAGGGTAATATATTGTGGGAGATAACACTATAACAAATAGAACCAAGAATTAAACAAAATGACCTTGCCCTTCTTAATAATTTTTAAGGTGGAATGGAAAACTACCAAGAACAGATCAGAATGGGTGAATGGGTCACACCACAAAATGTGTGCAAGGTTCAACTGGGCCTGGAGGAGACAAACCAGTGGCTGATAGCATGAGCATCAACCAGGTTGTCAAGTACCATGAGCTGTATATCAGCTGGTCTACATAGTTAGTCTGCACTCATGCAGTATCTAATTAGTCATTGTGACCATCCAATCCTCTGTAGTCAACTTCTACACGTTCATATTGGGATCTGTTCTACCTTGGATGTCACAGTGAGTGAGTGAGTGAGTGAGTGAGTGAGTGAGTGAGTATGGTTTTACGCCCCTTTTAGCAATATTCCAGCAATATCATGGCAGGGGACACCAGAAATGGGCTTCACACATTGTGCCCATGTGGGGAATCAAACCCAGGTCTTCAGCATGACGAGCAAACGCTTTAACCACTAGGCTACCCCATCGCCCCTGGATGTCCAAGGGGTATCTTCAAAGAACATTACTGACAAAGATCAAATCTGAATAAATGTGTACACTCACGAAGATCCTTCCTGTAGCTGAGAGCGGCCCTTGTTTTTCTGATCTTGTCAGCAGAAGCAGTCTACAGAACGGAAAGAAATCTTTACTTGCTGAGCAATACTGTATGTCAACACAGAGACGCATCCACACTGCAGTCACAGTGAACCAACTACAGCAGCATTGATCATTTTAGATACAATCAGTTGCTTAATAAATAAATCTTCAAGCTTGTTACCATTAGTTACCAGTACTCTTGCAGACACAAATGTAATCTATAGATGATTTTTGGTGTGCTGCCCTTCAATAAGTTCAAAACTTCAAAACACAATGAATCATGACGAATCGAGAGAGGAAATATAAAGAGTTATATAATTGGAATTGTTTCATTTTTATTTTATTGACATAATGACAAAAAATTTGGGGCCAAAAGTCTGTAAACACACACAACAAAAGTGAATATTTAATCCATAACAGGCATAGTTTTACATGACATCTTAATCATGTGACATGTGATCAACAAGTGGAGTATTGCCAACAAGTGTCAAATGGTAGCTGCCATTGTTGCTCTCATTTTCACAAACGTAGAACATTATATTAAAACCTACTCAATACTTTGTGTAAGCTGTAAGCTGAAAAGCTGATGTAAGCTATTAATATTTGGTGTAAGCTATCAAGACCTGATTTACAATATGAAGAGCTGACGTAAGTTATCATTACTTGGTGTAAGCTATCAAGACCAGATGTACAATATGAAGAGCTGACGTGAGCTATCAATATTTGGTGTAAGCTATCAAGACCTGATTTACAATATGAAGAGCTGATGTGAGTTATCAATATTTTGTGTAAGCTATCAAGACCAGATGTACAATATGAAGAGCTGATGTCAGTTATCAATATTTGGTGTAAGCTATCAAGACCTGATGTACAATATGAAGAGCTGATGTCAGTTATCAATATTTGGTGTAAGCTATCAAGACCTGATGTACAATATGAAGAGCTGATGTCAGTTATCAATATTTGGTGTAAGCTATCAAGACCTGATGTACAATATGAAGAGCTGATGTGAGCTATCAATATTTGGTGTAAGTTATCAAGACCTGATGTACAATATGAAGAGCTGATGTCAGTTATCAATACTTGGTGTAAGCTATCAAGACCTGATGTACAATATGAAGAGCTGATGTGAGCTATCAATATTTGGTGTAAGCTATCAAGACCTGATGTACAATATGAAGAGCTGATGTCAGTTATCAATATTTGGTGTAAGCTATCAAGACCTGATGTACAATATGAAGAGCTGATGTGAGCTATCAATATTTGGTGTAAGTTATCAAGACCTGATGTACAATATGAAGAGCTGATGTCAGTTATCAATACTTGGTGTAAGCTATCAAGACCTGATGTACAATATGAAGAGCTGATGTGAGCTATCAATACTTGGTGTAAGTTATCAAGACCTGTTGTACAATATGAAGAGCTGATGTCAGTTATTAATATTTGGTGTAAGCTATCAAGACCTGATGTACAATATGAAGAGCTGATGTCAGTTATCAATATTTGGTGTAAGCTATCAAGACCTGATGTACAATATGAAGAGCTGATGTCAGTTATCAATATTTGGTGCAGGGGTCCGGAACATTTAAAATCCCAATCGGACATTTACATTTATGCCACGCCCCCTTCAAACAGCGTATTTTAGTACGACTTTTTACACACAAATTACAAGTTGTTACGTATTCATAATATGATGAATTATGAATTGTTTCAATTTAAATTGTTTAATTCACCGGACAATTAATAACAAATAATATCATTTTAGATATATATGGAAAACATACGTTTGTTTCTGTTTTAATAACGATCTGTTAACGTTGTGAACGGTCTAATTGATATTCATGAGTCTGCTCAAGTGTACGCGTTGTAACATTTGGATCGAGACTATTATCCCATATTTGGTTATCACATGACCTCACGGGAAAAGGTTTTTTTTAAACTAAAGATTATTTAAAAACAAGACAGATAATATAATCATAAATCCTAAACTATCGTTGATAGCAATAGTTATTTGAATACTTTTTCATCTGTACTTAATTACTGACCATAAAAATATTTGATATCGATCGTCACAGAAAGCAAAATGGCGGTCAATCAAGATTCAATATACGACTAGCAACAATAAACAATAAAATCTGCAAATCCTCATTGTATGTCAACCAAGTGAAAGTCGTTAGCCACGACTTACAAAATGATCATTCAGACTTTGAGGGTTTGGCAGATCCGCTCGACTGATCTGCATCAGTCGACTGGCTGTCGTCACGCTTTCGCTTCTTGTCTGAGGTTACGTATCGTAGCATTGTGAGGATAATGAGGTACATCGATGATGCAAGGTATTTATGTACAGTTGTAAACACATTTTACTCAAATTAACAAGATGTTCTCAGTAATTAATCCTCGATTAATCAGTGTCAACTCAGTTTATTGCCTATTACAGTGATTGACCGATTGGACTATCATTGTCGGTACGATGTATTTACAGCAATCAAAACAAACAAAGCTTGTCAGTGTAGATAATCTTCATTGTGTTACAACTGCAGACAGAAACTGCTCAGTCCTAACTGTTGATCATGTCCGGTCAAAATTTAAGAATGTCCGGACAATACTTTTTAAAATGTCCGGACAGAAAAATTTAAATGTCCAGTAAGCAATATTTTAAACCGGACATTTGAGATTCCCAATCGGACATGTCCGGCGCATATGACGGTTTCCGGACCCCTGATTTGGTGTAAGCTATCAAGACCTGATGTACAATATGAAGAGCTGATGTGAGCTATCAATACTTGGTGTAAGTTATCAAGACCTGATGTACAATATGAAGAGCTGATGTCAGCTATCAATATTTGGTGTAAGCTATCAAGACCTGATGTACAATATGAAGAGCTGATGTCAGCTATCAATATTTGGTGTAAGCTATCAAGACCTGATGTACAATATGAAGAGCTGATGTGAGTTATCAATATTTGGTGTAAGCTATCAAGACCTGATATCCAATTTGAAGAGCTGATGTGAGCTATCAATACTTGGTGTAAGCTATCAAGACCTGATGTACAACATGAAGAGCTGATGTGAGCTATCAATACTTGGTGTAAGTTATCAAGACCTGATGTACAATATGAAGAGCTGATGTGAGCTATCAATACTTGGTGAAAGCTATCAAGACCTGATGTACAATATGAAGAGCTGATGTCAGTTATCAATATTTGGTGTAAGCTATCAAGACCTGATGTACAATATGAAGAGCTGACGTGAGCTATCAATACTTGGTGTAAGCTATCAAGACCAGATGTACAATATGAAGAGCTGATGTGAGCTATCAATACTTGGTGTAAGTTATCAAGACCTGATGTACAATATGAAGAGCTGATGTGAGCTATCAATACTTGGTGTAAGCTATCAAGACCTGATGTACAACATGAAGAGCTGATGTGAGCTATCAATACTTGGTGTAAGATATCATGACCTGATGTACAACATGAAGAGCTGATGTGAGCTATCAATACTTGGTGTAAGCTATCAAGACCTGATGTACAATATGAAGAGCTGATGTGAGCTATCAATATTTGGTGAAAGTTATCAAGACCTGATGAATAACATGAAGAGCTGACATAATCCACCAAGATCTGATGTCCACAATCAAGAGCCGCTGTATACTTACATCCCTGAGTTTTCCCTGGTAGACGGCAACTATCCTGCCCTCTGTGTCCTTCATGGGAGCTCCACACCCCGGACGACCAAAGGGGGAGTAAAATGCCGATTCTGGCTCATAAACTTGGGAGCGGTTGTTGCCAACTTTATCTTTCATGGTTGCAACTAAAACATTTTACAAGGAATCATTTTAAAACAGCTATTAAAGTAACAGACACATTTTAACAGGCATGACAATGCAGCAGTAAGATGCAACGTGTGAATTAGATCCATGCAATGTGACATGTGCAGTGTTTCAGAAGGAGGCACACAAAACTATTCCATGCTAAATAAACATGCAATTGGCAGAGCAATCAAAAATTAAAAAAAGCATCTGGGCCAAGAAAATGAAAACACATGGAAGTGTGGATATACTAAAAGAAAACTTAGAAATGCTTCATCCCCTATGTCTATAGGTGAGTTACAGAACTAAGACGTAGTTACCTCCAAAGTCATCCCGTTTCATTGTTATGGGAAACCTCGTCAGTGTTTTACCGTCTGTGTCAAGCACCGGAGCACCTGCACCACCACGGGTGCGCTCTAGCTCCAGACTCTTCAACTCAAGTTTCTGGTGAGGACAATTGTATACAATAACCATCCTTACATTCACTACCCCCTTACATCCCCCCTCACATTATACGTCCCTATGCTATGATCCACTGGTCATAACTAGGACTGGCTAAAAATATTGATTATCAGAATTATCGTCGATTATCGATACGAAATTGTTGTCATCGATAATGACTCACATAAACTATTGCGATGAAATAAAGTTTAGATTAACATTGTCAGAAATCTTCTTCGGTACTTTCATGCTTATAGAGACCCGTGAAGATCCGGGATAGAATAGGTCTTCAGCAACCCATGCTTGCCGTAAAAGGCGACTATGCTTGTCGTAAGAGGCGGCTAACGGATCGGGGGGTCAGGCTCGCTGACTTGGTTGATGCATGTCATCGATCCCAATTGTGTGGATCGATGCTCATAATATCAATCACTGGATTGTCTGGTCCAGACTCCATTATTTACAGACCGCCGTCATATAGCTGGAATGTTGCTGAGTGCGGCGTTAAACAACAAACCAACCAATCATGCTTATAGTTCCTACTCCAATATTTATCGATGATTGATTGATGTTAAGTTAGTGATTATCGATCTCTATGATCAATAAAGATAGCCAGCCCTAGTCATAACATACAAATTAATTGTCTCAAAAGTTAACCTCAAACTCCAATAGTATTGTATCTTGGTAGGTTGTCCTTGATTTGATAGGAAATTGTAACGGTACTTAACTTCAGTTTTATGGCAGATGTTGCTGATATACTGGAGTGTCCTGTTTAGTATTTCAAATTGAATGATGTCACAAACTCAGTGGATCAAATTATTTAGCTGTAGAATGTTATAGACAAAACATGACCTTAAGATACACAGAAAGTCCTGCATATGTATTTTTATTGTTACATATATCATACAATAATCATACTTTACTTCATTTTAATGAATGCCATTTAGAAGTGATACACTTAAGGAAGAGAATTTATGGATGTGTATCACATCAAAATGCCATTTGTTCCTCATAATCAGCGTTAGAAACTGACAGTTTTAGTCCACATGTCGTTATAATGATATAGCAAAACCCTTAAAATGACAAATTTCTACTAGTCCTTTTGATACCTTAACTTTTGGGCAGTTTGGCAAGGACTATAAGACTAGTGCCAATTTCTAACGCTGATAATATAGAAGCTGGCATTCATAAATTCTCTTCCTTTCATGTTAATGGTTTCCTTGGACATCTTGACAATTAAATGCTGGATACTGATCTCCTTTAAATATTTTTTGACTTTGTTAATGACATATGATTATTGATGTTTATGTTCAATACTTATTTCTCACCTTCTTGTTAGCTTCAAATTGCTCTGAAAAATTGAAAGAGCAAATGAAATAACTTGTGATTGCTCTGAATGTTCACTGACTGAAGCTGCCAGGGGTTAAATATTCCCCTAATTAACATCAACTGAAGAATGGGTATACGGCAATAATGTCTTATGACTCTCCTGATGCTTGACTAGGACAGCATTGAATATAAGTCTGTTTATTCCCTAGTAAGAGAATATGTGTAGACCTATGTATGACAGTGTTTATCCTGCATTATCTGAACACATCAGTCTGACCATGTTTATTCCTAAGTGACAGAATATATCTATATAATATATATGGCAGTGTTTATCCCATACTAACAGGATGCATCAGTCTGACCATGATTATTCCCTCCTAACACAATATGTCTATATATGACAGTGTTTATCCCATACTAACAGAACGCATCAGTCTGACCATGATTATTCCCTCCTAACACAATATGTCTATATATGACAGTGTTTATCCCATACTAACAGAATGCATCAGTCTGACCATGATTATTCCCTCCTAACACAATATGTCTATATATGACAGTGTTTATCCAATACCAACAGGACGCATCAGTCTGACCATGATTATTCCCTCCTAACACAATATGTCTATATATGACAGTGTTTATCCCATACCAGCAGGACGCATCAGTCTGACCATGTTTATTCCTTAGTGACAGAATATATATGACAGTGTTTATGGGTGCACAATGTAGCGTAGGAGCATAACTACTGAGGTATCATACCCTCCAGGACTGCATATATACACTTAATTAACAGAATGCATGTCTGATGATGTTTATTCCCAAATAACAGAATATGTCAATACTGTGCTTATCCCGTATTAACATAATGCCTCTGTCTGACTATGTTTATTCCCAAATAACAGAATATGTCAATACTGTGCTTATCCCGTATTAACATAATGCCTCTGTCTGATGATGTTTATTCCCAAATAACAGAATATGTCAATACTGTGCTTATCCCGTATTAACATAATGCCTCTGTCTGACGATGTTTATTCCCAAATAACAGAATGTCAATACTGTGCTTATCCCATATTAACATAATGCCTCTGTCTGATGATGTTTATTCCCCAGTAACAGAATATGTCAATACTGTGCGTATCCCATATTAACATAATGCCTCTGTCTGATGATGTTTATTCCCCAGTAACAGAATATGTCAATACTGTGCTTATCCCGTATTAACATAATGCCTCTGTCTGACGATGTTTATTCAATAACTGGAGGGCCTGAAACCCAAATTTGCTTTGATAGTGTCCAATTACAAGACACTACAATTACAAGACACTACAATTACAAGACACTACAATTACAAGACACTGCAATATATTCCCACCTTATCCTAAATATGACATATTACCCATAAGGTTAAAACGATCATGAGTAATACATTTCTGATATTTGCAAATTTTAGCGATTCTCATGCTCCTTGGTCAGTTGAAGCCATAATACGTCACAGTGCTTCACTGTTGTAAAAAATCATTGATTGTTCATGACGTCATGAAATTGATAACATGACATCATCTGAACAGGCTGCTTTCAGTGAGTGCATAGGTTTGGTATGTTGTCTTCATTTTCTCTCCAAAAATGTCAATCAGTAATCCATAGAATAACCTACGCAAAACTTAGCATTATGGTTTATCTGTTCCCTGTGAATGTATGCTCCTAGTCCAAAGGTTTGCGACTTACACCATTTATTCACTCGGGACAAATAAACGGTAATTCCTTGCAGCTCATTGGTTGTACAGTAAACTACGGTTATAATGAACTCAAATGGACCACTTTAGTTCGGTATTACCATAATTCATTTATAGCATATATTCGGCATCTATACAGTAAATAGCAGGGCCAAAAAATATGTTTGTTATATAGGTCCGTGGTTATATCCATCAGTCCGTTATAAGCGTATTGGTTATAAACGTATGTTACTGTGCTCTAATTCCATTCTCTAATAGTGTCTGTACCTCTTAGCGATATTTTCCTTTGTTCGAGGGGATCATTGCTGAATTGAACCCTCTTTCGAACCATTAGGCGGCGACCTGATACAGGACAGGTCAAGCAGGAGAGCGACAGAGAGAGGTGACAGGAAGGTGACAGGATGGCGACAGGAAGGCAACATACAGGACAAAGGCACAAAATGTTAGTGTGGGTGTGTACAAAAAGCATAGTCAATACTCACTTTCATTCATGAGTTAACATAATTTATATGACACTGTAACATGACAAATATATCTATTTTTCTTTGATATCAATTTATTTTAAATTACTTCAAAAGAAATGAACTGAAAAATTAATAAATGAGGAAATAAATGCAATATTCTTAAGTTTCAATTAAGAACATTTATATATAAATATGGAGAATATAGGTTTCATTATAACATCCTATATGTACTCACTAAATGCATGCATACATATGCAGATGGTTATAGAAGGGAAAGAGAGTTAAAAGAACACAAGAAATGGTTAATAAATTTTAAAAAAGCATTCTACAGCACATAGTTAAAGTTGATCCGTGGTTTCACCTGATGATGACTTGTTAGGGGCACCTGCACCTGGCTTGCCATAGTTGTCGGAAGACTTCAACTAGAGAGTTAGGAAAAACAGAGTTATCTCCCCTGGCCTCCTTCACCTCAAGCTCCATCACAGCGTGTGACACCCATTGTTACCCTCCCGGTACCATCGCTGCCACCAGTGGATCTTGAAATCTTTACATTTGCTCTCTAACCCCAAATGTAGGGACATTTATATATTTGTGTACGCCTTTGGGAATTAATTTTGATAAGGCTTATGACTATTTTCCAAGTGAATTAACATTGGTTTAATTAGACTTGTTCATTACTGTTGACGCAGAAAAGCCCTGATCTTCCCCCTTAGATTCTTGCTATACCATTTACATGATAGTTTAAATAAAATAGAAATTCAAATTGACAAAGAAAATCTGGGGGAGGAGTATTCATAATGGTCAGCAAGTTCAAGCAGCAAGTTGTGGCCGCCTAGCACAGTGGGGAGTTGTGACTGGTGGCACCAATAGTACAGAGAGATCCACAAACAGCTATTACCGTGAGGAGCCTGCCTTCACCGTTGGAATAAAAGTTGAACACAAATGTAACTACCGTGTCCAAAGTGGTGCCCTGCTTTTGTAAGTGCCCTGCATATATGATAGCATATAACACATCATATATTTGTTAAATATGCAAGAACAGACTTGTACTACCTGGGAAAATATATTTAATCACACACTCACACAATTTACATAAAAAGTAAGTGCTTGTGTTGGAAGAAATATTTACCATCTAGTTAATCAAGACTTTGAATGCCATTTAGAAGTGTTACACAAAAGGAAGAGCATTTATGAATGTCAGCTTCTTCCAATGATAAAGAGGTTGACATCTATAAATTCTCTTCCTCATCTAGTTAATATCTATAGCATTATACAATAGACCGTTGTCTCCCAGCAAACAAGCGAGGTGTTTCACCCTGGATGCTCCATCTCATGCCTCAAGACATTATGTCTATTGCAGAGAAGCTAGGAACTACCGTAATTCGACGTAAAAAGCGCCCATGGCGATAAGTGCTAACATATTGGCTAGTGAACAATCCCAATTAGCACCCCTTCCGATTGATCAATGTACACAAGACTGATTTATTGGCGTATAATACGCACTTGTGTGTTATATGCACCCTTAATTATGGGCAATTATATTCTGGAAAAATATATCTGTCAGTCAGCATAAACCATGAAATCTATCTTTCAACTCTGTTTTTTTCCACCAAAATAAGATTCTAATAAGAGCCCCTATTTCTAATTTTGAGAGCACCCTGGACGCTTATTACGTCGAATACGGTAACTTCAAAAGTAACCTGGGACTTTATGTAAGAAAAAAGAATATTATGAGTATGTGGTGATATTTTGAAGGGAAAAAACTTGGTCACCTTGACATGAGAGTGACTTCAAATCCAATGCTGGTCAATTGTCAATTAATACCAGTAAACTAATTAAAGTTAATTATTAATGAACAACACCAAGGATCATGGTGTTGCATGCATGCAGTGCACACACAATACATGTCATGACCACAATGATAGACTGAAAAAAACCCAGGATTTTTTATATGAATAATGTATCTCTTTTGAAAGATCATAAACACATTAAGCTGTTTCTAGTGAAGAAATCAATGAGTTTCACAGACCAAGGTATTCAAAGAGCATACCGTACACAGAAGCAGGACATTACCAACAATGGCTAAAAAGGAATTTTGAAATGAAACTACATGTAAAAGATTCCTTTCAGGAATATGGCAATTGACAAGAAGAAGAAGTCATCAACGGATGTAAGGATTTGAAGACACTTTTTCTTTGCAGCACAACAATGTGCATTCAATAGTGTTAACTCAGTATAAACCATAGCAACCACTCTCCCACGAAGTCCTGGGTCATCAATACTTCACAGGTGTGCATACACCATGTTCCTTCATCACCAATGAATAGTGAGTAAGTGAGTTAGGTTTAACGCCGCTTTTAACATTATTCCAGTTATATCGCGGCGTGTCAGCTCAATGTGGGAGGAAAGACCCAAGTGATGCAGGTCTCTGACGTTTACCACTTTGGTGAAACCCACGAGCACGGGTATGGTGCTGACAAACCTAGAAACATAATCGGGGCGAACCGAGATTCGAACCCACAATCATAGGTTTCTGGCGTGCCCAAGGGACGCAACTCTGCACAGCGAATCGCGGCACCTTAGACGACTGGGCCACCTGTTCCCCCTCACCCGTGAATACATACGTCGGAAATTTGGTGTGGTAGTGTCTATTGTAGTGATAGTTCCATTTATTATCTGCCAAATTCCACTCATATCGAATACTCTTGTCACTACAATATTATTACCCCGGTCAATCAATCTCATCAAAATTGTCATGATTCACCGATTGTACTGATGCATCCGTAGATTATTCTCATGATACGATACGAGATACATGTAAATCTATATCGATATGAAATTTTATTGAAATTGGTATCCATTTGTTCGCGTATTGATTGATTTTTCTTTTCGAATCGAAATGTCATGATATTTTCTGAATTTGACACATACGAAAACTTGTTAGTGTCTGACACTTGTTTGAATAAACAGAATCAACCTTTTCTAAGTAATATTATTTTACAAAATAATCTACTGATAATGATTAGATTACATAACTGTGAATGTGATGTGTAATTAAAAAGTTTGCTTCTAAATTTGCGCATAAAAGGTCGGTATGGCTGTATCGAGATACATATCATATCTTGACCTCAAAATCAAGATACATATCGTATCATAAGGTACCTGTATCGTGACACTCCTTTTCAAAATCAGATCTTAGTTCTCACTGCCGCTAAACAAAGCTTTGTTTAGCAGTAGCAAGAACCAAGATCTGATTTTAATGAGATTGCTGGTCAATGGGCTAGTGTGAACTCGAGCAAGATATTGAAACAAGGGGTGTTTATAGCTTATGGTAAGGAACCAGACTGCTGCTTGATACTGAAGCACTGTGTGGACTAGATGTACGCAAGGCCGTGGTGCACCCTGCATGAGATATATTGTCCTTTGTACGATGCAATCTGAGTGATCATTGTTAGAGCACTCTTTGGTTTCAGTCTCGATGGGCAGCAGGGCATGGCTTGATTTGTTGTGCAAAAATAGTGACTATACAGTCTATATTCACAGGTAAGGAACACCTTTTTTATATCTCCAGAGCTCACATTTTGGTGGGGGCATGGGTGGCCCAGTCGTCTAAGGCGCCGCAATTCGCTGTGCAGAGTTGCATCCCTTGGGCATGCCAGAAACCTATGATTGTGGGTTCAAATCCCGGTTCGCCCCGAGTATGTTTCTAGGTTTGTCAGCATCATACCCGTGCCCGTGGGTTTCACCGAAGTGGTAAACGTCTGAAACTCGCATCACTTCGGGCTTTCCTCCCACATTAAGCTGACTCGCCGCGATATAACTGTAATACTGTTAAAAGCGGCGTTAAACCCAACTCACTCACTCACATTTTAGTAAACCTACACTAATACCTTGATGCAGTTCTGTGTTGGTCAATAACATTTTACCGACCAATCAAATGTCATTATAAGGAAAAAGGAAATGGGTAAGGGCGGTGGACAGGAAGACACCCTTTCCATCAAATATATTTTGAGGGCTTTCTTTTGCATGTCAGTTTTTCAATGTTGAGTATCTTGCAAACTCTATCGTAATCAATGGGACTGGCCGCCATGTTGTTGATATCGCCAACCAAACATTGAGGCTGGTTTGTATCTCGTATTCTGCTTGGTCCATTAGACTTATGGGTCCATTAGACTCAGAAGCGTAGTAAATCAAACTGGCTAATTTGCGATGACAAAAACCACAGGAATGGATCCAAGGGTTAGTGAAGGCTTAACAAAGTACGAGCCCGGGAGGAGATATAGAGGATGGGAGGAACACAGCATCCACAAACCTGTTGAGTGATGATGATGATGATGATGATGATGATGATGATGATGATGATAATGATGATCACATTCTTTAGCTGTGCATCATTTATACGGACAGGACTTAAGAAGCCATAGTGTAGAATTGATTGGGATATTTCCCTCGACTACTCACCATCTCGATCTCCTGGCGCAGATCTCTCAGCTTATCAGAGTGTTCACGAAGGTGCCTCTCGTCTTGCTGCCGATCTGCAAGGGAAGTATACCCATGCTACACTTCTCGGAACGTTTCACCACATCATGGACAGTGAGAGGAAATACAGTTTCAGTCCAACAATTCTAGGATATTGTTGTAATTTACTGGTCAGAGGGTTAGTCAGGGAGTCAGAGTCAGAGTCAGAGTCAGAGAGTCAGCGTCAGAGTCAGAAAGTCAGAGTCAGAGTCAGAGAATCATAAACTGTGTCAATATACAATATGCTGGAGGAAAAAAAAAAAAAAAATAGTGTATTTATCTGAAAAACTTTCATTTTTGATGGCTAATAAACATTATTCTTAGCCAGTCTGTGGCAAAAACTTTTGTTTTTTTTAGATCTCAGTGTTAAGGTATCGTCAGCTCTAAATAATGCAACGTATGCTCCATCTGTCACAGAGTTCCTGCGAGAAGACCGGTACCTAGATCTCTCCTCAGTTCCTCCTTCTCCTGCTGGGGCTTGTTGTAGCGGAATCGGTTCTCTATAGACTTGCGTCCCTCCTCCTGGAACCGGATGATGCCGTCCCCCCGCAGGGTGTGGTCCATGTTGGCGGGCTGCTCCCCGCCATGTCCCTTGCTCAGCTCGCTCAGAAAGAAGTCAGGATGCTTGGTCTGAACAACACACAACATGCTGCAGTGTATGGGCCTCCCTGTACAGAGTGATCATAGCGCTACACCTGCAGTGCACTCCTACACTTAAACATCATCTTATGATACTTATAGGCTGAGATCGCTCTGTTCATTGGGGCTTAGGATACACAATGGTGGAGCAGTAGATGCAGCATGATACATGCATGCACACACGTCTGCTTGAACACACATGGACACACACACACGCAGACAGACCCACACAGACAGACACACAAACACACACACACATATAGACACATACAGACAGACACAGACACATATAGAGACATATAGACACACACAGACACACACAGACACATATAGAGACATATAGACACACACAACACAGGCACACACAGACACATATTACACACAGAAAATTGAGACACACATATATCTCACACACACACACACACACACACACACACACACACACACACACACACACACACACACACACACACACACACACACACACACACACACACACACACACACACACTCTAAGTTGTTCAAGCTGAATGTGTTGTCAGATCATCAAAATTAATCTTCAGTAAAGTGTCATGAAAGTCTCAATCCTTAGCACCATAAACCATTAATATTACATTCATGTACAAATTGCATGCAATTTATTATGTGATCAGAACACACCAGTACAATCAAACATACCTCTGTTTTTATAAACGTCATAAAAAGTTAGATCTGACATAGATTACTTAAAAAGATAGTATTATACATTTGTGTTATATGTATTGAAAGAAGGAGTTATATATATGTTTTCAACCATTAGATAGACACTATATTGCAAAGACAAATGATGGTATGCAGAGGTAGAACTCAGACACTAAAGATAATTATTTTGATATGAAGGAATAGTGTTTATGAAGAATGAGAATCGACTTTCTGTTAACAAGAAGGGAATGGGTGTTATTTGAGCCACATCACAGCACCTGTCTCGTGAGTGAGTGTGTGCAGTTTTACGCCGCTTTTAGCAAAATGCCAGGTATATCCCGTCAGGGGACACCAGAAATGGGCTTCACACATTGTACCCACGTTGGGAATCAAACCCCGGGTCTTCGGTGTGACCAAATGCTTTAACCACTAGGCTACTTGACCGTTTGGTGGAAGATGCTCAAGCTGTCAACCACTAGGTTCACCTGTCGTAGGAATACCGATGTCATTCCCCTTCGGGCAGAAATAGTTCACAGGCTTGGTTCTCCAAGGTTGTCATCACTTCTTCAATATTGACCCTCAACCCCTAATTACTCTGCCTTGCATGGAGAACACCAAGGATGCCACAGACTCTGACAGATATATAGAATACTAAACGAGCTCCCGTGTAATACCAATTTTATGAAACGAGTGACGTCAGCCTAGCAACAAGGTTGCTGGGGTCATCGAGTGTGCATAAGCTCCTCTCAGTGATCTATCAACTCCACATGCAATGTCTTTGAATAAACCAAGGGATGTTGAGAGCTTTCAATATTTGTTCCTGAAACGTGTTCCGAGAGTACATAAGCATGTGTTTTGGTATTACACAAAGTGTAATACAGCTGTATGTTTATTAAACGGGTGATCTCTTCACGGGCAAGTAATAAACTGTATATAATAAATTGCCTGTTTCTGAGTGAGTGAGTGAGTAAAGGAGGTTGTATGCTTACATCAGCAATATTCTAGCTGCATTAAACTGTATAATAGTCTAATCGGACCAGGCAGACCAGTGGTTGATAGCATGAACAACAAAACACACCAGTCACAGTCAGGTCATACATTGTGACAACCCAATCCTCATTAGTTGGCTCAAGCACAGAATACTAGGGACCTAGTCTGACTTGGAAACCCCCGGGGGTTATTCATGATACCTACAAGACCTCAAAAGCTTCAACAACTGGCGAATAAAATTTACCAAATGTTGACATTTGAGAATCAAAAGTTAATTTATGCCGGAGAAACAATTAGTTACGATATTGTTCAGAATAACAATGACAGCATGTTACCCATATAGGGAATTAGTATGATGAATTATGTTAATATTATACACAGTGCATAAATATATGATAAAATGGCAGAATATTCCCACCGAAAAACAATACAGTGAGTTAAATTTGAACTTGAACAAGGGGTCCAAGTACAACACCAGTTTCGATTGAAGTATAGAAATGTTCAGAAACTGAAACAGAGCTTAACAAATGGGCACATTACTTTGAATGTACGCCATGGCTTCATTAGAAACACTTGTCTGAATATGGTATGCCAGATTTAATGCATGCTTTAAATGAATAATACACATTATATAAAGCAAGCAAGAGTCCCAAACACCAAGCTCTGCAACAGAAGCTAAGACAAGGCATCTTGCATCTGTGTAACCCCACATTTACTTGAAGAACATATGAAATATTCCACCAGAATTCTTTTCTCAAATATTTTTTTGTAATTTTACAACCAAAATTTACATGTGATTTAATATAGTCTATCAGTATGAAGGCTAAAACTTTAAGAATTTATCACTAAAAACTTATAAATCCAAAATTCTATTAACAAAATATTTGTCATCAAAAAGAATATTTATTAATTAATATCTAAAGAGTTAAAAAGCATGCTATGAGAAAAACCAGTGTGCAGAAGCCTGCAGACAGAAATGAAATCTAAAAGTAATGTGACAGTCATGTGACGGTCATGTGATGGTCATGTGATGTACCTCCCCTTCCAAGGTCCAGCGCTCCATAGGTTTCTGTCAGACAAAATACTCATCTGATCAGTGGACTAGCAACATTGTTGACTGATGCGTGGTAATGCTGGGTTTAGTGGTTGCAAATTGATGTTAAGTTACCAGTTTCACAGCCCTCTGCTGATGGAAGCTCTCATCCTGACATTGAATGGGATCAAGTACAACTTTATAGCCTTGATTCCAAATTAATCATTTTTTAAGAAAATGGAAGAATTTGCTACAGGATGATTAGTGTTAAAGTGTCGTTTTATGAGATTTGAAACCTGGATACTATGTGGTCTTGTTTTTTGCCTCACTGGCAAGAGGTGAGATAATGGCTTGCATAGTCATGATAGTGAATCTCGTTAAAATTTGTGTTGTTGTTTTCCTTTCAATTTTCTCAGCTGGGTGATTTGCTTGACATTTAAGAATATGACCACATCCATTGTTTCATAATTTTATATCCCTTGAATATAAGTAAAGGAGATGCTACCAATTTCAACTTAATTTGTAATTAAATCCAAATGTTATAAATTTGACAGCAATTGACTCCTAATTGTACAATGTTACTATTGTAGCAGAGATTTCTTATGATTATGGAAAGGATTTTTTTTTGCTTTTATTTACACCTCACAGTGCCATGATTGTGGTTGTGGATTAGGATGCAGGTAAGGAAATATGTTCTTAGCTTGTAGATAAATTTTATTTTTTTTCCTGCCGGCATACAGTAAGCGCTGTACACAAGGCGGTATGAGTGGAGGTCACATAGAGCCAGCAGTAAGCAGGGTGGCAGCAACAGTGTGCCGCTCACTACAAGTGAATGATAAGGGTCAAGGTCACAGGTCAAGGTCACAGGCCACAAGTCAAGGTCACAGAGCATGTGCACAGGTGACCTGATATGTCAGCTTCATACACACGTGAACTTACGTTCTGTGCAAGAAAGGAAATCATTCTAATAATACGAACACATTTCTTCCTTAATTTGAAATTATTGTTTTGTGGAAACGATTACATGACAGACTTGACAGGAAGCAAATTTGGGAAATAAAAAATATGATAAAAGTACATCAAAGATGTCATTCCTGAACAAAACAATCTTATTTTCGGAATGGGAAAAAACAGACAGCCTCATTACTTTTCTTCAGCAATTGAAATGGAAGTATTTTTTCCATGCTCATATTAATAGAATATTCCCAGCATAGTATATGAGATAAATACTACCACCCGTGCACAGAATATTTCATGGGTTGGTTGGGATGGGAGAGGATTAAGTGAAAATGTTGCTTCCTATGTCCTGAACTTGCTATAAATAAATTCAATAACATACAACATATTACTTACAGAAAGAGATGGATAGTACTACTGCAATTATTTCTGAAGGCATCACCAAACTATTTGATTTTTCTATTTTAGGTCAAAATTTGTTTTTTCTTGTTATACTTTCTTTCTTGGTCAATGTTCCAAGAGACAGCAGGCAAATTAAAATAATAATTGTTGCCAGATATGATTTGAGATTACTTTCCAAAAAGAGTCACTTGAAAAATTACAGAGAGTTTTCAAATTGAGAACATTTCCAACACAGCATTTATATTTGGTTTGGTTTTGCCTCGTAAAATTTATTGTGAGCTTGTGCCTAAAATAAGAAAATGAATTTGTCCGTCTTTTCTGCAAAAGAATTAATTGATCATAATATGCTGTAATAATTTAAGAAGTTGAACAGTGGAAACATGTATTAAGATAAATTTGCGTTGCTTGTCTCATTTGTGTATCATATGTGGCCAAGGTCAAGAATAATCATGAAGGTCAACAAGCCTTTTCACTCATGGAAGCATAGTAGTGAAAATTTGAAACAAATGAACTCCAAAGTGAGAAGGAACCCACAGATAATTGATAATGAATACACTGCAGATTATCGGTAATAAACAAACAGGAACAGACGCAGGTCAATACAGAATGGAACTCTTCACACAAAGATTATGGAGGTAGAAATGGAACACCAACTGCGATACTCGTAATAGTGACAAGATAAAAACACATCTGCAACAGGTGCCCGTGAATACAAGTAAAGGCTAAAGGTCAAAGGATAGGGTCAAGGTCACAGAGCATGTGCACAGTTGATGTGATACAATCTTAAATACCTCTTCTGCTGGCACATCTACTGGGTGATTTAGCTGTCTCTTAGGAATACCGTACTATATATGAATATAGAAAAAAATATTTCTAACAGAAACAGTTAACAGTCACCAAATGTAGTTGGTTGGTTTGTTGGTTTGTTGTTTAACGCCGCACTCAGCAATATTACAGCTATATGACAGCGGTCTGTAAATAATCGAGTCTGGACCAGACAGTCCAGTGATTAATATCATGAGCATCGATCCACACAATTGGGATCGATGACATGCATCAACCAAGTCAGCAAGCCTGACCACCCGATCCCGTTAGTCGCCTTTTACGACAAGCATAATCACCTTTTACGGCAAGCATGGGTTGCTGAAGACCTATTCCACCCCGGAATGTTCACGGGACCTAATTCAAAGTGATTAAAAGACACACGCTTATGATATAGTCGGAATCGTACAATCTACTCTGCGTTTCGCAGAGATTTCTTATGAATATAGAAAGGATTTTGTCTATTTTTTTAAATCAGGTATATAACGTATTCATTTTTCGTTCAATATAAATTTGTATCAGATATTGTAACTATGAATGGTAATTACAATGGGGCCTCAACAACTAACAGCCATATTGTGCACTTTCTTTTTCTTTTTATTTGTATAGGGATAACATTACCTGGTCATATATTAGGGTGTGGGTGGGGTGGGGGTGGGAAGTTTCAAGGGGGTGTCCCGAAAAAATGACAGTGGAAGAGTGGAAAGTATCACAAGTAGGACGGGGGGGGAAACATGATATAGTCCTCCGACCAATCTCATGGCCCTGCACCCTACTTTAATAAATGACCAGTCCCCATGTGGTAAAGTCAACTGCACTCAGCAATATTACAGCTATATGACCGCGGTCTGTAAGTAATCGAGTCTGGACCAGACAATCCAGTGATCGACATCATGAGCATCGATCCACGCAATTGGGATTGATGACATGCATCAACCAAGTCAGCGAGTCTGACCACCTGATCCCGTTAGTCGCCTTGTATGACAAGCATTGGTTGCTGAAGATCCATTCTAACACGGATCTTCAAGGGCCTGGTTGAATGTCAAACTTTCTTTATAGTTTCACATCATTTGTTTCTAGGATCATGAATACTTAGTATTATTGTTATTAAAAGTATATCCATAAAATATCACTAAGAATAATAATGTTGTATGATGTTTTCTGTTTGTTAACGCCACACAAAGCAATATTACAGCTATATACGACAGCAGTCTGTAAATAATGAAGTCTGGACTAGACAATCCAGTGATTTACATCATGACTTCGATCCATCCAATTGGGATACAATGACGTGCATCAACCTGCATGTGCCTGATCATCCAATTCTGTTAGTCGCCTCATTTGACAAGCATGGGTACTGAAGACCAATCCCAAACAGGATCTTCACAGGGGCAATGTTGTATGCAGATTCTCCTATCGACACCTTACAGTGTGACAACGTGACTGTATTGTTGATGCAAATCTACTTACAGTTGGGTCTCTGTAGCGAGGGTTGGCTCGGGGAGATAACTCCTCCTCCTGAAACTTCCTCCGCTTGTGGTCGCCATCACCCTGCATCAATAAAGAGACATCAGTATACACAGTTGAGGCCTGGGATTACAAATCCGCCTACTCCAAAATATGAAATGAGACAAAACACACAATAAATAAAAATCAGTGTTTTCTTTATTCCGCCAAACAGAAATAAGTAAAATGTTCTAAAAACCCTCAGTTACAGCTGCTTATCAACATAAATATATTATTTAAAATACTATAAATCAAACCTGCCGAAAATTTATCTTAAAAAGTTTAAGACACAATGAATTATGATGATGTATTATGTTGAATTGTGACAGATCCATGTCTATGACGGAACGTTTCTTGTTTCTTTATTTATTTATCCCACCCCAACTTTTTGGTCCTCCCTACTTCACATTTTGAGGAAATATAAACAAAAATATATGAAACTGGAACTTATATTTTCATATTTTTTCAACCTAGCGACCTGCAATTTGGGGCAAACCATCTGTGAACCAAAAATTAGCAAAGCCTGGCCTTACGGCGAATTGGATTTATCACCACTTTGGACAGTATAGGGCAAGCTGTCATTGTAATGGGGGTAAAAGGCCCCATATGATGCAGGTTTGGGATGGTTATACCTTTGGTGAAACCCATGAGCATGGGCATGGTGCTGCGAAACCCAGAAACATAATCAGGGGGAATCTGGGATTTAAACCCATGGCCAAAGGTTGCTGAATGCCAAAGGGACACAACTCTGCACAGCGAACTGTTTTGCCTCAGACAACTGGGACACCTGTCCTCAGTATACAGAGACCATGACAACATCAATACAGCTAAAGTATGTTTTTTTGAAAATGTGGATCATAATATAATATTTATTAATTGTTCTCAACTTTTTTCACAAAACATGAATGTTAAGGTATCAAGTACACAGTGATGGTACAAAGGTGTATCTCACAATGTGCAGTGCATGAGAGCATGCATATTCATGCTTTTATACCTACCTACCTGGGAAGCACCATGGCCATATTAATGTGCGTCTTACATGAAGTTGTTCCTTTGGCTTACCTGTGAAGCACTGTGGTCATATTTATGTGTGTCATACATGAAGTTGTTCTTTTGGCCTACCTGGGAAGCACTATGGTCATATTTATGTGCGTCTTACATGAAGTTGTTCCTTTGGCTTACCTGTGAAGCACTGTGGTCATATTTATGTGTGTCATACATGAAGTTGTTCTTTTGGCCTACCTGGGAAGCACTATGGTCATATTTATGTGCGTCATACATGAAGTTGTTCTTTTTGCTTACCTTGGAAGCACTATGGTCATATTTATGTGCGTCATACATGAAGTTGTTCTTTTGGCTTACCTTGGAAGCACTATGGTCATATTTAAGTGTGTCTTACATGAAGTTGTTCTTTTGGCTTACCTTGGAAGCACTATGGTCATATTTATGTGCGTCATACATGAAGTTGTTCTTTTGGCTTACCTGTGAAGCGCTATGGTCATATTTATGTGTGTCATACATGAAGTTGTTCTATTTGCTTACCTTGGAAGCACTATGGTCATATTTAAGTGTGTCTTACATGAAGTTGTTCTTTTTGCTTACCTTAGAAGCACTATGGTCATATTTATGTGCATCACACATGAAGTTGTTCTTTTGGCTTACCTTGGAAGCACCATGGTCATATTTATGTGCGTCATACATGAATGGTTCTTTTGACTTGCCTGTGAAGCGCTATGGTCATATTTATGTGTGTCATACATAAAGTTGTTCTTTTTGCTTACCTTGGAAGCACTATGATCATATTTAAGTGTGTCTTACATGAAGTTGTTCTTTTTGCTTACCTTGGAAGCACTATGATCATATTTAAGTGTGTCTTACATGAAGTTGTTCTTTTTGCTTACCTTGGAAGCACCATGGCCATATTTATGTGTGTCTAACATGAAGTTGTTCTTGAGGCGATCCAAGTCCTATAAGAAAGTGAGTGACAAGTGTGAGTCAGACGATGAACATTCTGTGGAGTACACTGAACATCCCGCATGAAATTAAATCAGTCTCCAGTGTTCATGCAGTGAACATTCCGAAAATGGCAGTGTACATTCAAAGTGCGACTATGTACAGTGAACATTCTGTGGGACTAAATATAGTGAACACTCCATCTGGGACTATGTGTGGAGAAAAAACATATATGAGCATCTATTCATGTTTACATAAACTACCAATCTTTATCTATCCTACTGTCCATCTATTCATCTGATCCATTTTTTCATCCCAATAACTATCTCTTCATGCAAGTACAAATTTACCGATCTCTTCATCTACCTATTCATATATCATCTATTCATTTGTTCTACTCACTAATCTATCCATCAACTTATCTATCCATCATCTCTTCATCCAATGCTTCATCTATCGATCCATCCATCATCAACCTATGAATCAATCCATCCATAAACCAACCCATCCATCATTCATTATCTCTCCATCCACTTATCTATCCATCCATAAACCCATCTATCCTCCCATCATCTCCCCATCCACCTATCTATCCATCTATAACCCATCCCTCTATCTATCCATCTATAACCCATCCCTCTATCCACCTATCTATAACCCATCCACCCATCTATCCATCTATAACCCATCCACCCATCTATCCATCTATAACCATCCCTCTATCTATCCATCTATAACCCATCTGTCTGTCCATCTATAACCCATCTATCTGTCCATCTACAACCCATCTGTCTGTCCATCTATCTGACCATCTATAACCCATCTGTCTGTCCATCTATCTGACATCTATAACCCATCTGTCTGTCCATCTATAACCCATCTGTCTGTCCATCTATAACCCATCTGTCTGTCCATCTATAATCCATCTGTCTGTCCATCTATAACCCATCTGTCTGTCCATCTATAACCCACCTGTCTGTCCATCTATAACCCATCTGTCTGTCCATCTATAACCCATCTGTCTGCCCATCCATAACCCATCTATCTGTCCATCTCACCTTCTTCTTCTCATCCATTTCCCTCTGCTTCTTCCGTGACAGTTGCTCCTTGTACCGCTGAATATCTAGTTCCACCTCTTGCTGCAGGTGCTTGCGCTTCTCGATCTCCTCCTGCCTGTCAACACACATCTATACACTCAAACACACATCTATACACTCAAACACACACACATGAGAACACACAAAACACACATCTATACACTCAAACACACACACATGAGAACACACAAAACACACATCTATACACTCAAACACACACACATGAGAACACACAAAACACACATCTATACACTCAAACACACACACATGTAGACACACAAAACACCATCACTGTTTCACTTGCAGGAGAAAAAACTATGAACTGTCACAAATATGATAGACATGTTGGTATCTATTCTCTGGATCTCCTTCTTCATGGCATCTAGCCATGGATCTTCTCATGTCCTCATATGAAACAATTACAAAAGAATGGTGCAAAGAGACTTTTCATGTCTGCAATTAGGCATGATACCATTCAGTATATTGCTCATTTATCTATTTTCAGATTTTGACTATTCCTCATTCTAGTAATGTTGAATAACTATGACATGACATCTCATTTAAGAAATATTTCACAAACTCTGTATAAAAAATACTTATGACTATATTGCTTAGCTAAATGTTGTGCCATTTTAGTAAATGATGAATAACTATGACATGACAACTCATTTAAGAAATATTTCACAAACTCTGTATAAAAAATACTTATGACTATATTGCTTAGCTAAATGTTGTGCCATTTTAGTAAATGATGAATAACTATGACATGATATCTCATTTAAGAAATATTTCACAATCTGTGTATGAAATATATGATGACTACAATTGCTTATCTAAATGTTGCGCCATTGATTAATTGAATGTACAAAAGACTATAAGAATGTCAATGTGCACCTTTCCCCAAGAAGAATCGATGGAAGTATTGACTATTAAGGAATGCATTAGATATTTAATGTCTGGTAAACAAAAGGATCTATAAGTTAAGATCTCCCAGACACAGAAGGTTGGTTTAAAGCTCTAATGAAACACTTCAAACATGGATATACATGTAGAGCTATATTAAACGAGCAGGGATGGATTCCATTTGAATAACTGGCTCACAAAATGTCTTCCCTCAACAACGGACCCCAGCATAGTGACATTCAACACATTTTTACAACATGCCAACTTGTGAAACTACAAAGAGATGATGGTGAAAGTGAGTGATTGAATGTTGCTTGATGTCACCATAACCTGTCATCAATCAAGTCAAACCAGTGAGTGAAAGCATGATCATCCGTCTACTCCATTGGTGCCTGCTGACATGCAATCGGCCAGGTCAGGGAGTGTAGCCACCCGACCCTTAGTTTAGTCATCTTCAAAGACAAGCAAGTGGTACTCAGGGGTCCTATTCTGCCCTGGAATCCTCATTGTTGCAAAATACAAGAAGAATAAAGGCAAAGTGGTTGTTCCTAAGGAAAAGGAGTTATCAGAGCAGTCATATCATGTGAAATAATTATGAATAACAGACATCTATAGAAAATTATTTTTACCCAGGATGTTTTATTGAAACTCAGCATACATGATAGGAGGAATGGTTTGGAGGACATGTGGTAGACATGTGGTGGACATGTGGAGGACATGTGGTAGACATGTAGTAGACATGTGGAGGACATGTGGTAGACATGTGGAGGACATGTGGAGGACATTTCCAAATTTGACGCATCAGTGACAAATATTATGTCTGATGCAATTCCCTATTTTGACTTGTACCATATGTTTGCATGTTTTTTTCAGGCAAACAATTGACTTGCCTTTGCATTTGTTTGTGATGGTGGGGCAGGATATGCACACCTTTTCGCGAACATCTGGTATCATTACTATTTGATAGTGATTCATAAACACATGCTCATAATATAGTCGGAATTGCACAATCGACTCTGCTTTATGCAGAGATTTCTTATGAATATGGAAAGAGTTTTGTTGCTTTATTTATATATATATTATTATTTGTATTATTTATGTGAAGTAGTTCAAGCTCAGAAAGTCTGCATATCATGTGTAAGCATTACAAGATACATCATAACAGTTGGTATGGCATCATCAGCAAAAATATAGAAAATAAAATTAAAACAGAAAGCAATAGAAAACAATGGCTGCAACAGTAAATATTTGGGAAATATGCAAATCAATAAAACTGGGAGATGAAAAACAAACATTTTGTTTTCTTCAATTAAAAGAACAAAATGAAGAAAAAACTGTATGCAAGAAGACATGCAATGCCATGCAATATGAACAAAACATAAAACTGTGTTAAGGTGCTTCCAATAGTAATGAGGTGATTAAGAACAGCCAAAGGATCAGATGATTATGAGATATGATTTTACAACCCAGTCTCATGAAATGATCAAATCAATAGTTACAGTTTTTACTTTAATTTCAGGGAAAATGAAAAAAAATATTCTAGATATGTTGACAGTGTTTTAAATATTAAATCTACACATCTTCTGTTTCTCGTTTCAAGTGCATCATTTTGTCTTTCTTTTTATGCAACAATGCTGTGTCATGTGATGTTTAAATAAAGACATAATAATTAAAATTTTCCTTTTAGTATACCAAACTTTAAAAAATCATAACATTTTAAAAAGGCTGCAACAAAGTCTGAACCAAAATATGAAATATCGGTAATCAAATGATTTTACTTTTTTTCTTCATTAGAAAAGTAAAAGCATAATAATGCAACCAAGAATCGATACCACATGAGATTATTTCCCCAATGAAAGAAAAAAACCAAATGGATGGATAGGCCGCAGGGATGAAGACATGATTGTGTGTACATGTACAGGACTTGTGGGCTGGAAGCAACAGAGGTGGGAGACAAACAAATGTTGTTGTACATAGTTTACCTAGGGTGAAGTTGCCACTCCCTGTGTGTCAGTGGGGGAAAACAACACGCTGTGTTAGACAATGGATGCAGCTTCGGTGCATAAATCACAACAAAAATGGTTTTCATTTTTTTTTATGATAGAGCTATACCCATCAAATTTTTTGTTTTACAAATTTTCAAAAAACATTGTAGACTGGGGGAGGGGTGAAAAATACTTGTCGCCAGGTTTGCCATGAATAAACTCTTGAATTAAAATTTAGATAAATTTACATACAAAAAGATGTTTCAAGACATATTTTCAAAAAGCTTTTTATTTGATTTCAATCTCGTTAAAATCAGATCTTAGTTTTCGCTACCGCTAAACAAAGATCTGAAGACATCCCATAACTGTTCACGTCAGAACAACCTTTCGCGAAATTTGACTGATCAATGAAATGACTGACAAGAAAACATTAGCCAGTCAGAAGGCAGCTTTCTCGAGCTTTACGACACTTGTTTCAAACTGGCGACTACGCTTCGAAACATATTTTGATGTATTCTCGATTAAAAATTTTAAAACTGATAAAAAGAACATTCTGGAATGGCTTATAGATGGCCCAGATTGTATGGATATAATCACAAAACCTGTAACTGTCGTTCGGAATACCCTCTGTTGAATATTTTGTGGTTGCATGATTAGAAAACACATTCCGTTTGTCACTTTCATGATCTGGTAAGCGACGCTCTGATTGGTTGGTTGAAAGGTCGTTCTGACATGGCCCGTAATGGGATGTCCTCTGATCTTTGTTTAGTGATAGAGAGAACTAAGATCTGATTTTAATGAGATTGACTTGATTTATGATTTTGAAATATTTCGGGTAGGCTGTAAAACAAGATATCAAATAGGTCTGACATATGAAGCTATTGCTGTCAATATTAATCATATTTTTTATTCAACATTTAGAAGTTTTCACTGCTTTGTGTGAAGGCGACTCACACATACTGCTACAAAGTATGGCCTTCAGACAGCAAACACTGACAATCATACAAATGTTTCATTGTTAACAGTTTTGGAACAAATAGTTGAATTCTTTACATTGACATGGACCAACCAAACATCCAGGACCTAGCTCACATGGTTCTTGGTTCAGACAAGCTATGTAAAGACATGCTTATCTTAGTAAGGATAAGATATATGGATGTACGACCTCTTTATTACAATAAGGAGTGACGTTTCAGTGTAGGTTCTAACACCATTATCAAGCAAGTGATATTTGGCATTTCATGTGCTTGATAAAGGTGTTAGATCCTACACTGAAACATAGCTCCTAATAGGGGTGACTATTGGTCTGGAAATCACTCTTGCGATAGCTATTGATATTGAAAGAAACTATTGTGATAACTATTGATATTGAAAGAAACTATTGTGATAACTATTGATATTGCAAGCAACTACTGTGATAAATATCGATAGTTTCAGTGTATCATTTTAGATGGATTCTTGAGTTGAATTAAACCTTGGAACTGAAGTTTCCTTTGAATATGATAACCATAACAATAAATAAAAAGTAAAGTTTGAGATATGACTGATTTGTTTATTCTTTACCCTAATAATCTAAGAAAAAGAAACTTCCACATTACCATGAGTAAATTACTACCACTCATGATCAAAAGAAAAACAAATGTGAACAGCATTGCATGTATTTTATTGAAACTGTAAAACTATGGTAAATACAATTGAAACTATCAATATTCCTAACTGAAACTGATACTATTGATCGGAAACTGATTTAACAATTGATTCACTGACTTTAAATGCTGACACATAGCAATATATCTATATTTCGATTTATCGAGACACCCCTAGCTCCTAATTGTAATAAAGAAATGGTTTCATCCATATATCTTATACTTACTTAGTACTCCAACTCTAAATGCCTCTTGAAGAGTGAGTGAGTGAGTGAGTTGGGTTGAACGCCGCTTTTAACAGTATTACAGTTATACCACGGCGTGTCAACTTAATGTGGGAGGAAAGCCTGAAGTGATGCAGGTCTCAGACGTTAACCACTTTGGTGAAACCCACGAGCCCATAATTGGGGCGAACCGGGATTCGAACCCACAATCATAGGTTTCTGGCGTGCCCAAGGGACGCAACTCGGCACATCGAATCGCGGCGCCTTAGACGACTGGGCCACCCATGCCCCCTCCTCTTAAAGAAGAAATGCTGATCTTGGTACCCTTGTCACATGTACCTTAGAGTGAGTGAGTATTTGGGTTTAATGGCGCTTTTAACAGTATTCCATTATATCATAGCATGTGTGGGAAGAAATTTGGGAGGAAAGCCCGAAGTGATGCAGGTCTCAGATGTTTACCACTTTGGTGAAACCCACAAGCAAGGATATGGAGATGACAAAACTAGAAACATAATCAGGGCGAAAGCGTATTCAATTTCTGACATGCCCAAGGGACACAACTCAGCAGAGTGAATTGCGAATAGATATCATTCTAAAATAGTTTGCCAATTCACATGTTTAATGATTTGTATAGTATCTGAAATTCTGTACATTATCTTTCAATCTTAAATTTGAAATTGAGGCACAGGTGACACAATCATCTAATGTGCCTCAATTTGCTGTGCAGAGTTGCGTCCCTTTAAGACATGCCAGACACCGATGATCATGGGTCACAACCCCAGATTCGCCCTGATTGCATTTCTATATTTGTCACTACCGATCCTTTTTCGTTTCACCAAAGTGGTAAATATCGAAAACCCACCTCACTTCAGGTTTTTCTCCCACATCAAGCTCACAAGCCTAAAAAAACTGATTTTAAAAAAACTAAATTTGTAATCACTAAATACTGTCAATGTTTGTCACTCAAAGAAGATAACATACTTTGGTTAGACTTACGTTTTATTTTCTCCAAATGGCACCGCCCTCACAGACGGCGGTATATGTGTTGGCTTGGGTGCCGGGGGAGGTGTGTGTGTCCGTTGGCTGCCGTACTGTACGCCTCGGTTACCGTCGTACAGGCGGGGCTTCACTGTACATGAAATCAGAACAAGTAGACACATTCATTTGACATTCATCCAGTGACAAATAAAAACTATTTGATGTTAGCAGTTGTTGATGACGAAACACAAATCCTTTGATTAACAACACAAAACACATTATCTCTTGTGATTAACACAAACCATATTATCACTTGTGATTAGCAACACAAGTGACAAATAACAAAGAGCCATACCATCACCAGTGGCTAAAACACAAAACAGAAGACTTTACCAACTAATGACTTGCATGGGAATATTTGATATTTTGTATCCAGGTCTGTAGGAGACTAATGGTGGCACTAGAACTGATAATGCTTTTTTAAGAGGGGCTGTGTGTCTGTTCCAGTCTAATGTGAGGTGAGGTGAAGTGAGGTGAGGTGAATGGGTTTAATGTCAGGTTCAAGAGGTGAGGTTCAAGAGGTGAGGTGAGGTGACTTGAGGTGAGGTGAGGTGAGGTGAGGTGAGGTGAGGTGAGGTGAGGTGAAATGGGTTTACTGTCAGGTTCAAAATTATTGCATTTATATAGACATGCATGCTCATTTTATAGCGCTATAGCCAACTGAGATACCATGCCACAGTTTAACATAGACATCCCACTCTGACACAGTATACTGAATCCAAGCAGACAAGTCTTTTTTTATCTACTTAATGCCAAGTGCCAGGCATGGAAACAACAAGTACATGTACCATCTTTTTAACATATTTTGGTGATGGAACCACGGACCCTCATCTTCCTGAGCCAATGGAGTAACTGTAAAAGTCAAGTTTCCACCCTTGCCGAACTAGACTGCAATTTCGTGGTTTGATCGAAGCGCCACCAGTTGCGATTATGAGTTATGTCCCTCCTTTGCCCCTCCTAATGACCAATCAGATTCCACCTCTCATATCACTTGCATTTGATTCAAACAAAATGGGGGCACCAGTCAAGACAATCTGATCAATAATCAAGATATTTTTTTAAAATAAAATGGGTCAGATCTCGCGAGGTATATCAAATCACTTGAGAATCTTGATCATAAACATGAAAAGATTTGGGAAATTATCTGTCGACGCCCATTTGAAGGTACACATGCTTTGCAAATCCTGCAATTGACCAAAATCTGTACGGCAGTTGCCATGTTGTTTATGACCCAAATGTTGATTTTCTTCCGCGATTTTGACTGGACTATGCATAGACTCATTGGTCCATCTGAAATATAACCCCATAATTTCAGCCTATTTCGACAAGGGACTGGAAACTGGACTTTCATTGTCAGTTAACTCCCTAAAATGCCTCAGGAAGATGCCAACCAACTGCTCTCCGGGCAGACACTCAAAACACAGAGTCTGTCACGCTATGTGTCAAGCTGAGACAAATGTTTCCTTGTTATTAGGAAAATATTTAACTGATAGATCGAAATATATCATAATGATTGAGTTGGCAGATAAAGAAAGTGATATTTAAACACTTGAACCAAAAATGCTTAGTTGTCATATTGACTGGTTAAAGTACCTCTATAAACAAACAACATTTGACAGTAAAAACACTGTGATTCAAAACAATACAACTCAAAAGAAGATAAAGAATACCCAATTTTTTCATATTACAATAGTTAATCTGTCATGCCCTGACAATACCATATATTCTTCTGAAAAAGAAACTTAACTGTTGTTTAACCACCTTAATTTTAAATTGTCTGCCTTGTCATTATGAAACTAGAAACTATATAAGATATTTTGTAAGTGATAAAGATATTACAAACATTATTGTGGATTCTACCATGAATTTGGAAAATACTCGATTTTGATTGGTCAATCGGAGGTATCAAATCACAATCAACCCCCTCTGGTTGAATCAGCCGATTTGACAGCTGCATCACCACAGAAGCAAATATTGATAGAATAGTACTTTGTTTCATTCAGTCATGGTTGGTAGGCATATTTAAATAATTATATCCACAATATTACAAAATGCACAGATGCGGTTACTATAATATTCAGATGTGTGGCAATACATTTCGTGCAGAAAACATGAATGAAATCTACAGAGAATGTATTTTAAGTTTTGGGGACAACAGAGAGTTTGGAATTTGATGCTTTCTATATATACGACTGTGACATATCTTTTGTGTCACAATGAGCAATATGACGTCCTATTGGTGACATGCGATGTAGAATGAAAGCATTGCAAAGCTTGCTTAGTTTTCTTTAGGGGTGCCCACCTCATGCTAGCTTACCAAGATGCCGTTGTATCCTTTCGTCACTGTCATATGTTTGAGTATTTCTGTGTAAACAAACTGCTTGAGCATTTTCACATGTAACACTTGAAACCTCACGCTGAGCATATGGCTCCAAATTCACTTTAGTGGGTTAACATTTTATTTACAGGTAACCTTGCTCTACATTAACAACACAGTTTGTTTATTGCCTAAATAAACTATTGATAAAAAGATGAAAAAAAATTAAAAAATTATCTTATTTAAGAAAATGGATATTTGACCGGACTAAATAAATTCCACTCTCAATATCTTACCTTAAAGCATATTATCTGATTCCAACATCTTAAACGCCTTTCAAAAACATGCTAAAGAAATTTACCGCAATATCCTCCTCGACCAAAGTAAAGTACCAACAATTAGCATACAATGTCAGACTACAAATAGAACTATCTGTACCTCGTGTCATGATATCAGGCCGAAACATCCACCACACGGAAGCCTTCAAAGTTGATCAGTTCCAGTGCTTCCATTCACAATGTCAAGTCAGACAATGACAGCCTGGTTTCTAACAACAAGCACAGCTGAATAGGTCAACCCGTGCATGCCAGGTTGAAAGCAGCTGATCAAGCAGCTATAATATTCAATCATTCAACCATGACATCCTTAACCAACAGCAAGGTGTTATTTCTTGTGTAGTATATCATGTTATTAGTCTATATTGTCCGCTGTGTGGAGGTATTATTGGCTTGCAAGATCTGAACCTTGTCGTCCATTTTTCGTCTCAATTAACCTTTGGCCACAGCTGGTGTATTGTGTTTATGGCTGATATAGATTCACTCAATTGCTACATTATTTATGAATTAGAATTGTCTTGAGAGATGCAGAGAATAGATTAAAAAATGAACAAGAACGATTGCTTTTTAACCACCGGTACTGTCATGTCTGCTTTGAACAAATGAAGCATATCACATTATTCTGGTCTATTAATGTCGTAAACTAATATCTGAATCACTTGAGGATTTTAACTTGACAAACTTGGCTATTGGTCATATGTACTTTTTGTACCTTGTTTTTTTCCCAATAATCATATTATGCTGAAAACTATTTCACTGTTATTCCATTAGCAAGGTGAATATTTGTACAGTCCCTTGTGATAAGTTTACAATATTTTAATCATTTCAGAACAATACCTCACTCATTTCACCCCCTCTCCAGGCATCTGGTGTACCATTTATTTTGTCTTGGCATCCACTTTAAGAACTCTTGAGTCATATCAGTGTACACAGCTGGTGAATTAGACTGGGATTTTCACATACAATGCATGACCATACGTGTTCATAAGCTAAGGACTACCTATTTTATTGGATTGTCATTCTTTGTAAGAAAAAGAGACAAAAGAATTTTCAAGTTTGAAATATTTGTATCTGCGTACCAAACATTTTTATAGCATCCAGCGCACTGCACTGCGGCATCTAGAATACCATTGACAGGGCTCGCCAATAGGGCGTTGGCACCCTCAGAATTATTTATAAAAGTAAATCTATCACATAACATTGCATCAGGAGGAATGAGTGTCAGTCCAGTCGCTCTATCAGGAATTAAGTAACATGACTAAATTAGTCCGACACATAGACTCGTGTATGAAACCACAGTACACTTTGTTTATAACAAACACGCTTATAACGAACTGACGGATATAACGAACTGTTTCTTGGTCCCGTCTACTTTCTGTATATATTTAATACGACCTCGATTATAACAAATTAAAATTAGTAGTCCCTTTGAGTTCATTATCACCGTAGTTAACTGTAGTTACAAATTATATCTTCCTCATTTAAAGATATAGCTCTGTGATTGGCTAGTTGCTGTCATGTAAAAGACCGTACAAGTAGGTGGCCGGCTTGTGTGGATATCATGACGTCATTATGTTTTTTGCGACATTTATTTGTCATGTCACAATCATTTATTGCCCCTGTTCGTACCTTGTGTAACCAAAGTTAACGTCGGATTGCAGTCAGTTGTCACACGCAGATAATCACCGAAAATAAGACACAAACTTGTTAACTTGTAATGACAAGTTGTGTACATCTCTTGATTGGCGGTCTCATGACATGCAAGATCATTCAGTTTGTAAAACCAAATACATCCCCTGCAAGTAACACATAATACAAGTACTGTATTGACCGTAATAAGCACCCCAGTTGCTTAGAAAACTGATTTATATTGAGTGGCAGTGAACAAACTTAGTTTGAACTTTATACTTTTCATTTCCCTGAGATAAACAAGTTTGGTTTTTTTATGAAAAAAGAACACTTACCGTATTCTACGTAATAAGCGCCCACGGCGATATTTGCTAATATATTAGCTCGTCAACAATCCCAATTAGGATCCCTTCCGATTGATCAATGTTCACAAGACTTATTTATTCACGTACAATACGCACCCGTGTGTTACATATGCAACCTTAATTATGGGCAATTAAATTCTGGAAAAATATATCTGTTGGACATAAAAATTTCAGGCTGTCAGCATAAATCACGAAATTTATCTTTCAAAACTGTTTTTTTCACCAAAATAATATTCTAATAAGAGCCCTCTATTTCTAATTTTGAGAGCACCTCGGGGTCTTAATAAGTCGAATACGGTAAGTGTCAAAAGTAATTTTAGCTACTCCAAACTGACCCTAGCCATGACAACAAACTTCAACGTCTGGGGCAGTGTGGAGATGTAGATTTTAGATCCTTGATTCTATAGAAATAAACAAGACAGATAATGGACACAACAACCTCACACACTCAGCAACCTTTCCCCTTGTCAGAAAAAAACATTGAATTAGTGCAAGACTAATGCAGTGTTCTATGGGTAGATGTGTTAGGTGTCAAATAGCATCTGGACCCTTTGTGCCACTGGTCAGGCCGGTCACGCCATCGTTGATGTTTAAGGAACACAGCAATAAAGTTGATTGTCTGGACAATAGTATCCAAGCAATTAACAAAGTCGGATTGATTGACGATCATCAATGTTCCCTCATTGAATTTTATTTCCCATCGTGGGAGGGATCACAATAACTACAATACATGTTTCAGTTCAGTTCATCCCGTTGTGTTCCAGTGTTTACGGCCATCTTGGAAAAGCCAAACAAACAATTACTATAAGAGCACTGTCAAGTTCTTTCAGATTTTATTCCTACCATAAACTTACTGGTTTATTGACAGAACAGGAATAATTGTCACATCAATAAATCAATCTATCCACAGCTCTGCATTTAATTTGTATTTTTGAATTCAATTTTGCTTGTAATTAAAGTTTGAATGGCAAAGAAAACACTCTACTTGACAAGCTGGGCCCTAGTTTCGAAGAGTATATTAAGTGAATGACTTATTTTTTAACGACTGAGGTGTTTTCTTATCAGGAATCAATTATATGGAATGGGTACTTTCAACTTCTCTAACATATTTACAAAATATAGAAATGAAGTAAAAGTATAACGTTCTGTAAATTCATGATGAAAGTTTTGTTAAATGAAGTGAATACCAGTTAAATGATTGAAAAAAGGAGTTGCTTGTTTCTTACGTGTCATCAAAGATGCACCTGGTGAACTGTCAAGCATCTGTGTTCTCTCTTATATTCAAAAGCAAGTTAAAAAAAACCACTGAATTAAAAAGAACTGAAGAATATATATTTCATGAACATACAATACTTTCTGGTTTGTATTCATTCATTCATTCATTCATTCATTCATTCATTCATTCATTCATTCATTTAAAATGATGGAAATGTGCATGTTTTGGAGTTTTATGTATTCACTTTGCTTCCAGGAAATGCAATGTACATGATGTTGAAAATAACATGATGGGGGACAACTTGGTCTGTTTACAATGTTGAACTTGAATGTTGCAAAACTGATTCAAACTCAAATGTTATCAAAATGATTCAAACTCAAATGTTGGTAAAACAATTCAAACTCAAATGTTGGCAAAATGATTCAAACTCAAATGTTGGTAAAACAATTCAAACTCAAATGTTGGCAAAATGATTCAAACTCAAAGGTTGGCAAAATGATTCAAACTCAAATGTTGGCAAAAAAGAAGAAGCATAACATAAATATACAATATAAGCAAAAGCTTATCTTCTGAAAGCTCTCAAAAATGTTTTGTCATTATCCTTGATTTAATTATTTTCTTATTATTATCATCATCAGTTTGAGAGCTTTTCCAACCATGACCTTCACAGAAAGACAGGGAGATAACTCTTCCCTTACCTGGGTCAAATAATGACTGTTTTCCGTAGTGTTCAGCATATTTTTGCTCGGCTCGTTTTGCTGCTTCTAGCGAGTGAATGACAGGAATTCTAGGGCTTAGAAAGCTGTGTCCTGGATAGCCTTTGTAGCGAAAGTCAGTCTGGTATACGACTGGTGGGGAACCAACTACTGGGTTGAACTTGAAATCCCGTGGGTAAGCTGGGCGAGAGGAGGAAAGGTGCATACTCAAAGATGGTGCTGGTGATGCAGCTCACACACCAAACCTTCACCACTTTGCCATCAAATCTTTCAGGAACTTGTGTTCTTTTACTAGATATTAAATACTAATCAATGAAGATAAAAGAATGCTCATGTCTTATGCGACTCAATCTCTCATGTAATGCACACATGGCCAAAATTTTCTTCCAGTCTTTCTAAATAATTTTTTTTTTTATGATCAACCTGTGTCAAAATCTTTCAGAAAAAAATATAATATATTGGACCAAAGAAAATTTGTAAGTGTGTAAGAAAGAAAATTTTATTGCCAAATGTTTGAACTTGAACTTGTTTTACGCCGCACTCAGCAATATTCCAGCTATATGACGGCAGTCTGTAAATAATCGAGTCTGGACCAGACAATCCAGTGATTAATATCATGAGCATCGATCAATGCAATTGGGTACAGTGGTCCCTCGCTACAACGCTACCAATGGGGTCCAAATAATTGGTGGGCGTTATAGACAATGAGCCGTTTAACCGAGGCCGAGGCGGGGGAGCGCGCTCGGCAAATCTCAAATCATCAATATGTGTTTATCTCACGTCACGTCAAAATAGTATATATTTTTATGGACCTAGATCTACCTGTAATATCATTCATTTATTAAATCTGTCACATTTCACAATGTCTGAAATACGTATTCCATTCTAATTTATCATTTTTTATCAATAAATTAAAAAAATTATTCACTATTTCCCGCGATGTTATTGAAAATAAAATTCTCGGACACACATTTCGACAACGGGTCCGCATCGAACATGTCATAGAGCAAAATAAAGACTATTTTAAGCAAATCTTTAAATATATTATACAAAGTGATAAATAAAATCAACAAAAATATATCTAAAAGTAATCAAACTTACATCTAAGTTATTATTTCCATCATTTCGTGCGATCGCGTGTAATGTAAGTCAAATGACATATATATTTCATGAACATACAATACTTTCTGGGTTTCATTCATTCATTCATTCATTCATTCATTCATTCATTCAAAATGATGGAAATGTGCATGTTTTGGAGTTTTATGTATTCACTTTGCTTCCAAGAAATGCAATGTACATGATGTTGAAAATAACATGATGGGGAACAACTTGGTCTGTTTACAATGTTTACATTAACCACTAAAATAGATGTCATGGCAACTGTGAGACTGAGAAAGCTCAGTAATTTACTCAGTGAAACATTATGTAAAAGATAATCAACTGATAGGTGACCTCACGTGCATATATATATTGGATTGTGATGATGAATTTTTCAGATTGGTTTATTGCATCAATAGCACTATCCATTATATGACAAGGATATGCAGACCTCTAAAGTGATAGTGTATGGCAGTATGGTATGAGGTTTAGTAGGAAGGTAAATGTAATAAACGAGAATAAGACTTAGAGCCTTGTGGGTGAAAATAGGGTGCGGTGTGGATGCGCCGATGGGAAATGATGCACGCGATTAGCGTAATTGTAGCCCTCTGCCGTGGCAAGGCAGACGGAGACAGCAATGAGACAGCAATGGGACAGCAATGGGACAGCAATGAGACAGCAATGGGACAGCAATGGGACAGCAATGAGACAGCAATGAGACAGCAATGGGACAGCAATGGGACAGCAATGAGACAGCAATGGGACAGCAATGGGACAGCAATGGGACAGCAATGGGACAGCAATGGGAACTTTTGTACGCCCTCCTGCAGACACAGCAGGCAGGAAGATCTGGACTGCCGCTGTAGGAGCAGCAGCCAGGAACTCAGCGTTAGGGGTATTGATGTGCTGCCCAGCCAGCGCCATGCCCACCGCATCTACTTTATTGGATGATATATGTATTAACAACTATGCATTGGAACAAAATATAATATGACTTTGGCATATTGCTCACCCAGAAATAGAAGTATTTATAGTGTATAGTGTAAGTAATTAGTGCCAGGGAAAATAAATGTAAGAATGAAGTGGGGTTTATTTCATGCCCCTCGTGTTTTATTCTCCCTGCAGTGTTTTATTGTTAGATAATCATCTCCCACTCGTCATTTGTTTCGTAAATATGGAACATGTAGCCATATTGTTATTGGCAAAGTTTCAGAAGACTTATTTGTGTGTGGGTGTGTGTGTGTGTGCATGCGTGCGTGCGTGGGTGTCTGGGTGGGTGTCTGGGTGAGTGAGTGAGTGAGTGAGTGAGTGAGTGAGTGAGAGAGGTTTAACACCACTTTGAACAGTATACATTTTAGTTATTTCACAGCATGTCAGCTTGATGTGGGAAGAAGGCCAGCAGGTCATTTTGGAGAAACCCACAAGCACAGATATTAAAAAATAATCAGAGCAAATCTGGGAATTGAACCCATAGGGTCATCAGAGGGTCCTGGACTGCCTAAGGGATGCAACTCTGCGCAGCAAATTGCAGCACATTATGCTACTGGGCCACCTGTGACCCCTTTTGTGACAGATAATGTCATATTTTCATAATCAAATTTTCTTAATAATTGTAACTGTCAGATATTTAAATTTAAATACCAACAAAGCAGATTTAGTAGAATGTCAAATGAGCAAAAATATATAAAACTTCTAACCCTACTACTTTGAAATACCGATTTTAATCCAGTTCAAAACATTTTGTCACGATGAAAAATAAATAACCTCAGTTTCTATGCTAACATGTATTTTCTGGAATAAATATCCTTATGTTGTTAATTTTACATTGATTTTATCAGAAATATAATATTTATTTCAAGTAAGCTATCCTGTGTATGTGAAAGTCTAGAAAACACAAAATAAAATTGTTCTGGCCTAACATTGACATTGTATAAATGAGTGGGTTCAAGCCTCACAAGAAATCCACTGAGTGGGCCAGTTTTCATCAATACATTGCCAGAGAAGCAGAACGAAAGTACAATCAGGTAGAACCGGTGTTCATAGCAGCGTCAACAGAACCTAATACCCAGTCGATTACACTCTCCCAACCTCCTCTATAGACTGGGCAAGACCTGACATAAATCCCCAGTCGAGGCTATTCAGCAAATCCTGCCTTTATCCATGTGTTTACCATCTAACAATACACGGGGAGCCAACATTCTTATAATCGCAGTAAGCGGGTTACATATTTCTAAATATTTCTCTGTATGTAATAAGAGTAGTGGTAGGATAGCGCTATGTATACAGTGTAATGGCTGCAAGTACAATGGCCATGTCAGCTAAACCAATGTTTGTTTTGTTTTATCTTTACGCTGTGTGTCAATACGACATCAAACAGCGATGTCAACAGCTGTAGGCAGGAGTCAGGTGTGTATTTACAAAACTTGTCAGCTGAATTTCGGAATCATGTCCCCAGAGGTCACAATATCTTGTAGTGGGGTTGCTTAGCTTAGTGGTTATCGTCAACATCACGGGGTGAGTGAGTTAAAATTTAACGTCGCATCAGCATAATTTCAGCCATATAGTTCCGGGTTGGATTCCCAACAGGGAATCAATGTGTGAAGCTGGTGTCTACTGTCATATTGCTGGAATATTGCTCAAAATGGCGTTACACTCCAGAGCTCCAGATAACCTTTTGAACAATTGAGTTTTTACTCTAGGGTTTCTATTTTAATTGGGTTATTACATTTTTCATTGGGTAACCAATTAATTTTCACTCATCTATTCATCACTCTTTTGGGTTTTTCCAAAAATGAGATTTAAATAAAATGAAATAATTTTTTTAGATGTATATTCTGGTTCTAAATATAGGCTTGACTCGGAAAGTAAATTAGCTCGTAATTGTCTTTCGGAAATTAGCTTTGTTGTACGTATGCTGAAAAAGCTTCAATGGGTATTTACGCGTGCTGTTTTCAAACAATTGAGTTTTTCATTTAATGCATGCGTTTCTGTGCGCAAGTTAATTGAAAGTAATTGGGTTTTGAATAGTTTTGGGGGGTATTTTACACAAATATGCAGCTTATCTGTAGGTCTGACTCAACTCACTCACTCAAAATATTTTGTAAGGACAGTGGGGTAGCCTAGTGGTTATGCCGACTACCAGGGTTGGACAGCCCTCTAAGTTTGTGTTTTTGTTTTAGGGTGCCAAGCGGCTGCTCATATGAGTATTTAGGAGCCAAACCTAAGTCTTAAGGAGCCAACGGATACATTAAACAGATATTGTCGCCAGTTATGTTTACTTTCAAGTAGCCAAGTGGCTAGCAGTAGATAAATTCAGGTCGCTAATCAACGTTAAGTCACATTTGGCCACCAAAATGGTTGCTACTTAGAGGGCTGAGACTCCCTACATGGGTACAATTAATGTTTGAAGCTGGTGGCCCTTGTCTTGATATTGCAGGAATAATGCCAAAAGTGGTGCGAAACTCAACTCACTCAAAATATCTTGAATTATCTCTGGAGAATGGGAATATGATCTTTAACTGCTTTCAGCAACATTCCAAAAAAATCTGGCGTAAAACTCTCTCACTCACTTCAAATATCTTGCATGTACATTGTATCGTCTTTTGCAGAAGTTTGTCTTAGTAATATTCCAGTCATATCTGGCCAGGGGACCCACGGAATGGGAGCCATGCATTGTATATCCTCATGGGGAGTCGAACCCAGTTCATCTGTGTGACCTTACACTGAACCACAAGGCCACCCTTGCCACCTTGACCTTCAGAAAACATATCCATCGTACATGAACTGAAGGTGGGTACTGTGCACACAGGAAGGTCTGGACTTGTCCTGTCTTGGATCATACTACTGTTTGTCCTTTATATAGTTTACATTGTATTGTGTATTTTTTCATAAGGCCAGATTAATTAATTAATCAATTATATCTTGTTTTATGTTTGTTTGTTTGTTGTTTAATGCTGCACTCAGCAATATTCCAGCTATATAACAGTGGTCTGTAAATAATTGAGTCTGGACCAGACAATCCAGTGATAGATATCATGAGCATCGATCCACGTGATTGGGATGCGATAACATGCATCAACCAAGCCAGCGAGCCTGACCACCCGATCCCATTAGTTGCCTCTTACGACAAGCATATTCGCCTGTTACAGCAAGCATGGATTGCTGAAGACCTATTCTACCCCGGATCTTCACAGGTCTCTTGTTTTATGGTTTGAATTTTATGGTCTGTGCGTATGTATATCCTGGTATCTAATGCTTGCACCTTGTGAAAAGCTTACATAAATTTAACATATATATGCATACATGTTTATTTAATTTTTCTCACTGCACCGATATGTCCAATGGTGTGCAACATGATATATTAACTGCAGCAGCACAATGATTAGGACTCAACTATTAGTAAAATAATTCAAATTTAAATGTTGCCAAATTGATTCAAACTCAAAAGTTGGTAAATTAATTTTAATCTTAAACGTTGGCAAATGATTCAAACTTGAATGTTGCCAAATTGATTCAAACTCAAAAGTTGGTAAATTAATTTTAATCTTAAATGTTGGCAAATTGATTCAAACTCAAATGTTGGCAAAACAATTCAAACTCAAATGTTGGCATAATGATTCAAACTCAAATGTTGGCAAAACAATTCAAACTCAAATGTTATCAAAATGATTCAAACTCAAATGTTGGTAAAACAATTCAAACTCAAATGTTGGTAAAACAATTCAAACTCAAATGTTGGCAAAACAATTCAAACTCAAATGTTGGCAAAAAAGAAGAAGCATAACATAAATATACAATATAAGCAAAAGCTTATCTTCTGAAAGCTCTCAAAAATGTTTTGTCATTATCCTTGATTTAATTATTTTCTTATTATTATCATCATCAGTTTGAGAGCGTTTCCAACCATGACCTTCACAGAAAGACAGGGAGATAACTCTTCCCTTACCTGGGTCAAATAATGACTGTTTTCCGTAGTGTTCAGCATATTTTTGCTCGGCTCGTTTTGCTGCTTCTAGCGAGTGAATGACAGGAATTCTAGGGCTTAGAAAGCTGTGTCCTGGATAGCCTTTGTAGCGAAAGTCAGTCTGGTATACGACTGGTGGGGAACCAACTACTGGGTTGAACTTGAAATCCCGTGGGTAAGCTGGGCGAGAGGAGGAAAGGTGCATACTCAAAGATGGTGCTGGTGATACAGCTCACACACCAAACCTTCACCACTTTGCCATCAAATCTTTCAGGAACTTGTGTTCTCTTACTAGATATTAAATACTAATCAATGAAGATAAAAGAACGCTCATTTTTTTATGTGACTCAACCTCTCATGTAAGGTATATATGGCCAAAATTTTCTTCCAGTCTTTCTTAATAATTTTTTTATGATCAACCTGTGCCAAAATCTTTCAGGAAAAAAATATCATATATTTGACCAAAGAAGGTTTGTAAGTGTGTAAGAATGAAAATTTTATTGCTAAATGTTTGAGCTTGTCTCTTGGTTGGTTGGTTGGTTTGTTGTTTTACGTCGCACTCAGCAATATTCCAGCTATATGACGGCAGTCTGTAAATAATCGAGTCTGGACCAGTCTGGACAATCCAGTGATTAATATCATGAGCATCAATCCATGCAATTGGGATACGATGACATGCATCAGCCAAATCACTAAATCCCGTTAGTCGCCTTTTACAACAAACATAGTCGCCTTTTACAGCAAGCATGGGTCGCTGAAGACCTATTCTACCTCAGATCTTCACGGGTCTTGTCTCTTGGAACAATATCTACATAAGTTATCAGAAACTTTACTAGACTCAGACTTGATTGATTGCAAGTCCTTCTTGGACAAGCCTAGGATGAGTCTAAGATGAATAACATCAACGTTATTTGAAAAAAATGAAAATGTCTATGAATCAGTGAAATTTCCACTGCATTTTTGAAATTTTGATCCTCAAGGTAAAAGCATGTTTAGCTTATTCTATATCAAATGTCTACAACACAAAGATAAAAGAATGACTGATTAATTTCTGATTCGATGTTATCATAGTTTCGTTTGATTATTAATAGAGACTAAAAAAGGATTTGTTGTCCCAGTTGCGTATTTGATGACAAGGATGTGAAACAATGGTGAGTGAGGTTAGCGTGCTATTACTGTGTAAAATAACAGCAAACAACATAATATTGACAAGATTATACATGAAATTAAGACAAATCAAATAAAAGATAACCATAATTATCAAAACTAAAATGGCAGATTTAAAAAAAAGGTGGCTTTTTCCTAAATAATAGCATTACTGTTCTAATGGTAAAATGAGTTTTGACAAACATTATAACAAGAATCAGCGTGATCCTTCCTTTGATGTAAAACAAAGTCAATTTTTAAATATCCTGTGATACGAATTGTCAATGAAATAGTATCAAACCAGCTTAAATTACCCATCAATGTTGAGAGTCCAATGGTTAAGTAACACCACCAAGTATTTGTTTAAACAAATAAAATGTAGTCAATTACCATGGTTACAGGCTTCAACAGAAACGGTGCTAATAATGGTAAGAAGAATAAAATGGTGATAAAAAACTAAAAGTTCAAGCAGGACATCTGAAAGATCTGCAATTTAAAAACATCTACAACAATGTAGGCCTGGGACGGGTAACTTGGGTACTCGGGTCGGATGGTTCCTGAGTAGGACCCGGATACCCACAGGACTACCCGGACTACCGGACTGATCACGTGATATATTGTTTAATGGCAAAAATTATCTTGAACTTCAACGGTTACATTATAAGTGACTAGTGTTTGAATTTCTTTCTGACTATACATCCATTCCTTTCTATGTTTGAATAGAGATAAAACTTCAGTCAACTTCAGTGTATGCATGACCAGATAGTTTTCTATGAGTATCTAAATACATTGTGACAGGAGTACAGTCAAACTATTCCCAACCGGACGTTTGTACCAATCTCTTGAGACCTACAGCAGGTATCCGGGTAGGGTCGGGTAATAGTTGGGTGGGTACCCGGGTAGTAAATGTGGACTCGTCCCAGCCCTACAACAATGTGCATTATATGCTGCTGGAAATAAATAAAGGAACACACAGCTGAACAATGGTTCCTGAGGTGGTAAATGAAAATACTTCATAAACAAAATAATATTCAAGGCGATCACTGAAAGCAATGTTAATCTGGTCTGTGTGGATAACATTATCAAACATTCTTTGGTTATTGTCAGTGTGCATATGGAATTTCATGCCAAACTCATGCCAAACACATGCTTACCTTCAAATCAGATCCCTTACTTCTTTCCAGCAGTATATGTTTCTACAGAATTAATGTTAGTTGGGTAAAACTCAATGGAGAAGATATGCTTAGAAAAACTACAGCTATATAGGTACTATACAACTTATAAACAATGCAATGTGTATGAAGCATGAAGCAATATGGGATCGTATATACTACTCAAAAGAAGTTAGGGAATACCCAATGTTTTCATATTGCTATAGTTAATCTGCCATGGCATGACAGATTAACTGTAGCAATATGAAAGAATTGGGTGTTCTTTCACATCTTTTAAGTAGTAACTAGTATTCATTAATTAATTTCAAAACCTGTACATACATATTTATATTGAATCCATGTTGTCACATGGTCCAAAACAAAATTCATGAGTGAGTGAGTGAGTTGGGTTTAATGCCGCTTTTAACATTATTCCAGTTATATCGCGTCGTGTCAGCTTCATGTGGGAGGAAAGCAGAAAGTTTATGAAGACAAATGCAACTCCATTGCACCTGGCTACTCTGTCCTCATCTTACAGACTAAAGGGGATGTTCTTTGTCTGTATACCGTTGTACAGTTGAACCTTGCCAATCCAGACAGCTGCTATTAGTTCTATTGCTAAGTATCCCGACTAGCTGTAGAACCATGAAAGTGCCTCAACTGTACAGAGCTTAGAAATGCAAAATAACTAAACATTTCAGTGGATGAAAAAAGATGGAAGAGTGCAGACAATGTATAAGATTCATAAAGTCAATAATACAGATACCAGTAATTGTCTCCTAAATGATATTAAACATTCATGAATGGGCTGGGTGAACAGGTGTGACAAGCTGTTATTGTATACTCCCCAGGGAGCTGAGATAGCAACTGCAATGGACTCTGACCTGTTGAGGTGGATAATATAGCACCATGATCCTACTTGTGGATGTGATACAGTATCATCTGCTGTATTATTATTATTATTAAACTGATAATTTCATGAAAGCAAGGAAACATGGAAAGTCTGAATCTTTCTAAACAGATTAACATCGACAGACTAAAGTCTCAAGATTTTTCCCAGTTAAGCCGTAATGGAGTGAGTGAATGAGTATGGTTTTACGCCGCTTTTAGCAATATTCCAGCAATATCACGGCGGGGGACATCAGAAATGGGCTACACACATTGTATTCGGGAATCGAACCCGGGTCTTCGGCGTGATGAGCGAACGCTGTAACCACTGGGCTCCCCGACCGCCCCCAAGCAGTAATGAAGAAATCATGAGAATCTGTTGATTCTGGAGGTAGAATTAACAGATTCAAGTGATTCTTTTTACTTAAACCATGTTATGGTTGACATATACTTTTATCTATAATGTATGACCTATAGCTGCATCAGTTTTACTTTGTTCAAAATGCAGGTTCAGAATGGCCAATGAACTCCTGGCTCAGAATCACCTCCAAGAACAATATCGTGATATCATCATAATTGTTTAATTGTGGTTAATATAATCAGAAAGTATGTCTCCTTATTTCAAGTTTCTATCTACCCAGTACAATAAACCAACGAAAAGTCAAAGATATATTCAAAATAGTATTTCTGCCACATACATGGAATCTTAAGCTACAAAAGGTATACTTACAAAGTCAACACATTTCGCTCATCAAGAAAAATCCAATGTGTATCCTTGTATATCAATGCAAAGTAACTGTTTAATCTACCTACCTGTCGCTACAGACAAAAACTCCTCTAGCAATACAAGAAATCAAGCATGACTCCCTCTGACCAATCACAGCGACCTGCCATGGTGATAGAGCCATTTGAAGGCGCCAATGGCTCATCCCAGGCAGAAGGCTGGTAAATAAATGATCATATACCATGAGGGTGGATTAAATATTGAGGGACTTCATCACCCCCCGACACACAACCATGGGCACCTGCTCACATGGGGGAAGCAAATTGTCATTAACATTGATTCCCCGTGAAGAGCCTGGGATTGTTTCATTGTTGAACCAATTAGGTCTCAGGTAGTGTTAATTGATCTAATTAGTAGAATGTGAAAGAGATAATGAATGCTGTGAAGATACAGAAAACCATTTGGAAACCTGAACAATATGTACATATATATATGTATAGACAAGTGATTTGTTCAGGTGTATAAGCATTAAATATACCAAGATAGAGGCCAGATATTTGTGCTTGTCAAAACTCCTTTATGCACACAAGGTCTTTCGCTGGCTCTTCAGATGAACCATCCATCCATCCATCCATCCATTTGAACTATGATTAAGTGGGAATGTGGGTTTTATTTAATTCTTACATCCATCCATCCATCCATCTGAACTATGATTAGAGAATATTCCGAGATATTAAGTGGGAATGTGGGTTTTATTTAATTCTTACATCCATCCACCCATCCATCCATCTGAACTATGATTAGAGAATATTCCGAGATATTAAGTGGGAATGTGGGTTTTATTTAATTCTTACATCCATCCACCCATCCATCCATCTGAACTATGATTAGAGAATATTCCGAGATATTAAGTGGGAATGTGGGTTTTATTTAATTCTTACATCCATCCATCCATCCATCCATATTCCGAGATATTAAGTGGGAATGTGGGTTTTATTATTTCTTACATCCATCCATCCATCCATCCATCCATCCATCCATCCATCCATATTCCGAGATATTAAGTGGGAATGTGGGTTTTATTTAATTCTTACATCCATCCATCCATATTCCGAGATATTAAGTGGGAATGTGGGTTTTATTTAATTCTTACATCCATCCATATTCCGAGATATTAAGTGGGAATGTGGGTTTTATTATTTCTTACATCCATCCATCCATCCATCCATCCATCCATCCATCCATCCATCCATATTCCAAGATATTAAGTG